GAACTTTGGGCGACTAGTACGCTAATTCTTCCTTGTATCAATACCAAGAGCGCTGTCGGATACATACTAATATTACAACACTGATTTAAAATAAAGAAAAATCCTTCTACTGATGCGTAATATCACAGATGTATTGTTATATTTTCACCCCGTTAAGGAGGTGCAATGTTTGATCTTTGCCTACTCCTTGGTGGAAAGTGTTCCTCTTTTAGCTTCTGGTCTGATTCATATGGCACCTTTTCATGATGTAACCTCCTTCCTAGAATGAGTCATTTGCCCTGGTTCCTCCCAGAGAAATAAATTGGTAGGGGATAAAGATGCCACTAATTTTGTTTCCAGGTGGCTGACTAGCATTTTTGGAAAGAAGCATAGCAGAAAATCAGCATCACAATAGTTATTCCTAGAAAGAGGAAAAAAATTGGTCTAGACCAAAGTTTTGTTTTGGAACTTTTCTCTCCGTATCACTATTAATTTCACCTTTTTTTTACTGTCAGCTTTGCTTTTTTTACTTAAACAAAAGAAAGATTGATTGTTTATTCTTGATAAACCTGTAATTTGTATGATGTACTCAGGGAATACATTATAGTTCCTACACAAATATAAATGCATTTCATTTATATATGTATCATTACAATTACGGGATATCATTATGGGACCTAAGATTTTCATTGCCATGACTACACAGTAGCTACTGTGCATATGATAATAAAACTCTTGAATCTAAAGGGATGCTCCAACCCAAATATATGTTGTCAATATCACGGTCTCATTCTTGCAGGCTTTAAATATGGGTGAATAATATGTTTGCAGTTTTATCTTTGATGGAGAACAGCAGATGTGGTCGGCCTGATTTCAGTCAGTAACTGTGTAAAAAAGAGAGAAAATCTTTTTTTAAATCTTCTCCTCTTATCTGCTGTCCAGCTGTAATCTCAGTATGCCCTAAACACTCAAAACACTGCTTTGAGGATACTTTTGTACATCTGTAAAGCCCTGAAGCTCTGCCAGATGATGCATATTTATGTATTGCGTGCATGCTGGTGAGTTTTCATATTCTATAGGTGGAGCTACACTGCTCTAGAGAGTGCCATTAATAGTCAAAACTCCACATGGTAATTGAAATAAAAGTGTAAACGACATATTTTCTCATTATTCAAATAGAAACAGGCCACATTACTTTGCAATTCACAGTATACAACAGTGTAAAATGTCAGTGCACATTAATAGAACACAATCGTTCAATAATATGTCACTTAAAATCTGTCACTGTTTAATGCAATCAATTGATGTATCAGCAAAAAACAGTCCCATTTGTCACCGTTGCTCATATGGAACCACAACATGAAACGTAATCAGGCTTTAGTTTAACTATGACCTAATTTTGTCCGTAAGTGAGTGCTGCATGGTCACAATTTTTCTATAATTACTGAGTTAACTGGCATGTCGTACATGATTAATGATGGATGATTTCTAATAAATAATGGATCTTGGGAAGGCAGTCTGCAACAAAGAATGCAATATGCAAACTAATATGTTAACCCCTGTTATAATCTCAGATCCTTTCCTTAAACCGTTAAACAGGACCATTTCATATTCAAATCCAGTGCAGTTAAAGATGTATCTTCTTTTTCCGTCTAGGTGTGTAATGGCCTCCAGCCTAATTCATTCTTCTAAAGTGCTCCTTCTAGATCTCAGGGTTCGTTTTTAGGCAGCTAAATTACTCACTTGTGTCAGGTTATTACAATTAGCGGTTTGAGTGCCTGCACTCTTGCATCTTACCTAGATACTTCCCTTTCTCTCCATAATGAGTTTTACAGGGGAATGCACCAGCAACAACAACAACACCAACAGCAGCAGCTAAACGGAAAAGCCCGGGGAGATGTATTAGCTAAAAAACCTTGGAATGCAGGTGGTGTATTTATGTGTGCGAAGCTGACAAATGACTTCCTTGGTTATGGATACAATCACCGTATTTGACCAGAGGGTAAGCTGTTTCAGTCAGGCGTTAAACATCTCACACACATACGTGCACACGTTTTCTCAAACAAAACTTGAGTGTGTTGCTGTTTTAATGAGCTGGACAATCAAATACACACTCAGTGACCAGAAAAACATAAATATCTGCTCTGTAGCACACTGAAGCATATTTGGCTGATATGAGCTGGCAGACATTATTGTGCCGTGACTCCCTTGTTGAGGTGTTGAATCTGAAAATGCAGATATTGGTGCTTGGCGCTTTCGTCTCAGTGCATGCTTCAATGTTTAATGGGATTCCTATCAGGGGGGCTGTGGTGGCAAAATCGTTAACATAATTTCACCCAAATGTTGCTCAAATCATTCAAGGGTCATTATGTTTGCACCTTTACAAAGTCACAATGTTGATGAAGTGCCATTATCAAGGAAAGATAATGGAAACATGATTTATAAATGGATACATTTGATCCAGCACAATGATACTGAATGCTCTAACACTGAGGCTTTAACAAAAACACTCAGTGACCACCACTCAGCTCTTACTAAGACTATAATGTTTATGCTTATTGATAACACAATTCTATATTTTAAATCCATTTATTTTAAGGTTTACACTATAAATAAGGCATCCAGGGCAATGATATAGCAGTAAACAAGTAGTTGCTTTGTAAAGATATAGTGGAGAAATGCCGTTCTGTAGAATGAAGTCTCACTCCATGTGTGTGTTTCAATCTTAATCTGAATTTCTCTGTGCTTAGTTTATGTAGTCAGTCTGGTTGTGCGTGCATGCTAGTGTATGTGAGTCGTTGTTGTTGGTTGTTTGTGAATGATTCCCACTGGCTAGCTAACGGCTTTTGTCCTTGTTAATGCTGCTCTTCTTTAAATGCATAAATATTCTCCAGTATTGCCGTGTAATTGACTGCTTTTTCCTCCTTAGTTTATTCAAATGTACCTTATAGGTAAAGTTAAAACTGAGTTTTCAATGATGATGCAATATGAACATTTGAATAACACTGAATGTTTTGCAACATGAAGGTCTGTCTTCTTAGCCTTGCTTTGCTTCGTCTGGACCAAGCATTTTAAATAAAGGACTTTTCTGCTAAGCCTTCCTGCATTTGGGTCCACGCTGCTCGTCTCACCGTGACAACTTCAGCCTTATGCTGTGTTGTGACTCTCCTTTACTTGTGGCCCAAACCACCTGACACCCCCCACGTTTACCTGGCACGGTCCTCCTCCCACCGAGCCAATGTTTTGAAGTGTCTTTTTTTTCTGCTCCTTTCATTGTAAGCCTTTAAGTTTGTTGCCTTTGAGAGGACTAGCAACTCTGCGATCTTGGCAGTGCTCAAACCGCCCTCCAGGAACCCACAATCATGCCTTTCTCCACGGCTGTCCACGACCATGATTTAGGTCCACTTTTGTTAACCCATTCACATGCAAAGTAAGCGTGGAATTGGACTTGCTGTTGTATGCACCTGTTTGTGTAGCGATACACATGCAAATGAGTAGGACGACTTTGACTGCAGGGGCAAGGGTTTTTATACTTCTGATCACTTGAGTTTAGCACATTGTATTTGTAAGAGACCAAGTCTGTCTCAGTATAACTAAAGGAAGGACTGGTTTGGATTAACCAACACGTGTTATTTGTAGTTCTTTTAGCCCATTAATTGATGATTCCAATGATAGAAAATATATCTCCAATCAATCCATTGTTTCTGTGAATTTCAGCCAAAAATGCAATATTTGTTAACAGATTTGGTAGTTCATGTCATATACAGAAGTTGGTATACCCCCATTGGTATATAGGGTGCAGTGTAGTGTGTTCTCTTTGCTCCATTTTGGGGTTTATAATCTTCACATTTAGTCCTCTCTCTGACTTGCAACGGCCAGGTGGGTCACCCAATATACAATAAAACATATTTTTTCTCTATTGGAAAAGAACAAAGCAAATCAAGATGCTATGTTTCCAAGGCGTTCATTAAATGCAAAGGGCATCACTAGTTATTGATCATAATATTGTGGATTGTTAGACTAAACACTGAGTCACAACAGCTCCTTAACCATAATCATTATTTCCAATCGTCATCTCTAATGACTGTCCAGTCACCATGGGCAACCACATTTAGACTGCCTTCTTCCACCTAATTGAGTGTAGTCGCTGCTATTGACAACCTTTTTTTTGTGTTAAAAATGTTCGTTCCTTTTGTCTACGTGCAAAGTGTTGAGAGTGAAAATTTCAAATCAAAAGGAAATGGGATAAACCAAAAAAAAAACACATATTCCTGTTCAACAGGAGATGGCAGCTTAAACATATTAGGCAGACATCGCTACAGCAGTCACACATGGACGCAGTCTCTCATAATATGTATACAAATAAATAAGGAAATAAACATAAATCCGAAAATGTGGCTAAAGGCGAAACATTTGAACGCTTGTTTAATGCAAATTTGGACCATGATTTGGACTGCTAGATCTCGGCAGACTGGCAACTTTAAAAGTAGCTCTCGGTTCAAAAAAGGTTGGGCACCCCTGCTCTAAAGGATGTAATTGTTACTAACCCTAATATGAATTACCTTGCAAGTGAGACGTCCTAAATGGGTGTGTTAAGCTTTGTTTATTACTTCAAAGTATTTTGCCTCATTAGACAGCTGAGTCAGTTAATTTAAGGGAAATACATTTGATGTTTACCTTTGAGAGAGTTACTTTGGTAGTTATGTTTTTATTATTAAGTCCTGTCCAACTTGACACACAGTTGCCATACAATAGTCATGTCTGAAAGAAATAAAGGGTTAAGCATCATTACCAAGAGAATCAACACTGAATTGCCTTCACTCATCTAATTGTTCCAATGTTTCCCCATTGGACTAAAGGAGCAGGTGGCGACAGTGAATTGACAATCAGCAAATGTCGTGTCACACTAATGCTACTACGTTATGTCATTACTACAAATGTTTTAACAATTATCCTGAGGAGGGGGAGGAGGATAATGACGCTGATGTGAACATCCATTATGTCCTCCCACATCTACGCAGGTGGCATCCTGCAGGCGCAGTGGAGCAGCAAATCCCACAAATTCTCTCTTTTGAGAATAAAACCCTCAAATAAAAGCTTGTGAGCAGGTGCTAAGGTTTTTTTTTTTTCTTTACTCTTTAATGCTGATCAAATCAATATTTTATTCTTACTAATCCTGTTACAGCTAATGAAAATCGTTTTTTGTGATTAATATAGATTTTCAGTCATTCTGTTACATCTTAATTTAAAAGAATGCAGGAATGAATGTCTCCAATTAAACTGGGGGAATTGTTGCATCCATAATTGAGGTCTTGTGAGCTCCTTCTGTTTATTATTGATTAATGCAACCTAATTAGGCCTTGGCACCTAACTATGTTCGTTAAATGATGTAAGGTTGTGAAAGACAAGAACGCTGTTAAAAAGAATATTATTAAAGAAACATGATTTGAAGACAATGTAGCTGCACAAGACCTCCTCAAAGATGTAATTGGAATAATGCTATGTCGCTAATGTGTGCTTGTAGTTGTATAAATGGTGGGTTGAATCATAAGCATTAAAACATTGTGGTGAGGTTGTGCTTTAATTAACAATGCTGACAGAAAATATATACAACTACTAAACCTTTTGTCTATAAAACATCCACCTATCAGATTATTGCGAGGAAACCAGTGCAGTGTAGGTCTTTTTACTCTGAGAGTCGAAGCAGCCTAATCAATCACTTTAATTGTGACTGTGCAGCAGTGTGGATTTTACCCACTGCCTTTCCTATCAAATGTTTCCATAAAAAAGAGTCTGCTACACTGTTTTCTATTTGTCATTTGACACAATTACCCGAATGCTCATTTTCAGGTTCATTTTTGTATTTTGTGCCTCTACTGTGACATGTCTCCATGCTTTAATGTTCAAAGGTCTTTATTCTTCTCATACTNCCATTGTGTTCTTTTTAACCAAATATCTCCCAGAGGGGCGTGGGGAGTGGCTCCTTATTTTCATCTAAAGTGAAGTTTCAAAAGTGCTGATTCTCTGTCTTTCACTTTAGATGAAAATAAGGAGCCACTCCCCACGCCCCTCTGGGAGATATTTGGTTAAAAAGAACACAATGGTGCTCTAGGAGGAGATTCAGGTGATAAGGTGGGGGGAGGGTGGGGTTACCTTGGTTGGTAGTTGGCTAATGGTTACACAAGCCAAAAACTCATTGAGACATCATGAAGTGGCCAAAATTCAGACAGGTTTTTATATAAATGGATCAGGACAAAAGGTGAGCGAATCTTTTTTCCTAAAACTTTCAGAATCTCGTTACACAGAGAGGACACATGTTTATGTATAACAGACTTGCATCTTGCTTGATAGTAAGGTCCCCTTTAAGTACATTTTGAAGCCCATACTTCTTTACTTTTACTTGAGTAAATAAGTTTAGTCAGTACTTCTACTTTTACCAGAGTATTTTTAATCACGAGTATCTGTACTTCTACTTGAGTAAAGGATGTGTGTACTTTTGCCATCTCTGGTTGTGCCTTAAAACCAAAAGAGAAGAAGGAGAACACTATGTGCAGACATTGCTTGAACGCAGCAGGAATTTAGTTAAGTCAGAGAATTTTCAGCTGACTGCAGTTTCCCTCAGTTTTCTTTTGAGTACAAAATCTCCACCCTCATTAAACTGTTTTGCAGCGACAGAAGAGATAGCAAACTTAATTTCGCATAAATATGCAAGCAGTCTCTCTTATAAAACCAAGAAATAAGAGAGACTGACCAAATGCACTTGGATAAAACATATATTGTTTGTGTGTGCAGCCCATCACCAGCAGATGGTGTAACAATCATTTACAGAGTGGCCTCTAGTCTTGACACCAGCAGCCAGGTAATTCCATCAGAAGAACAAGCTAGTCTTGCAATAAGCCTTTTCCAGAACTTAAATGTTGGCATCTCATTAGTGTTTATTTTTGGCTGCCTGCATTGCATTCAGTTGTGGCAGTTGAGGGTTCCTGATACTGTGTTGTATTACTTGCACAGGGTTTACATTAAAAAAGGGCCATAGTTAATATTTGAATAGGCTTCACCTTTGTTTGTTCTGCTTAAAAGTCAAAACTCATAGTGTGTCGTTTTTTGATGTGTTACACACAAGATTGTTTAAACTGCAATGGGCCTTGTACAATAAATGTAATATTAATCATGTGAAAACATTGTCTTTTTGTGTTCACTTGTGTTTTTTTAAGATTTAAAAATGATTGCAAAGACCTTAAAAACAAAACTGAATCAATTGCTTTTGTTTTTACTGAATTTAAAGGTCAGTTTTTGGCGAAGAATCTGTGAAAATTGTTTTGTTTTATTTTGCTAATGGTAACACTGCATTGGTCATTGTGTTATATATTCTCAAAACTCAGACTTTATTTCTAACAATGCTTCCATACAATAAAATGTAATTGTGATTATGAGTACATGACACTGCATGATAAAGGTCCAGCTCCATAGTTATGGAAGTTAACAATGCTATATAGTAGTTTTGTTTCAGTATTTGTATCACCGTAACAGCTCCTTGTGGGTCTTACTTACTGAAATGTGATACATGTCTACTGAATTGCAGGTTAATTGTACATAAACTCCCCTCTACTCTCTCTTTTATCTCAAACTCATTACTCTGTTGGTATGACCAAATTCAAGGAAAGTAAGCCTATTACTAAAGTGGCTTGTAAGAGGTTCACAAAATATGACCAGTTACATCAATCAAGGCAGCTAAAACACACAATGAGTAGGTGAGCATTATGTGTAGTGATTAATCAAAACTTAAGTAGATTTAATCATTTGTTTCTTTGAGTAAGTGACATGGCATGTGTCAAGGCCAAGGGTAGCTTGTCTAGCTAGCACATAATGTTCTTGTTTACAACTGTTCCCAGGCTTAGCAGCGATATCATAACAGACCATGTAACAGTATTTTTTAACATAAATTTGTCATTGGTTGGTATTTAAATTATAGGATAGTTGATAAAGTAATAATGTGTTCATTTAATTTTCTGCACAAATTGCAACACTAAAATATGTAGAGGCACATTGATTGAAGGTGTCTATGCCCAAACAACAAAACTCAATCACTGTTATTTGATAATATTACTAAGTAAGTTAATAATAATGTATTTCTATAACACTATGCTCAATGAGTCGAAATACATCATTGAAATTGAATGTGTTTTTCTACTTTTTGCAATGCAAATGTTCCTGATCTGTGATGTGACTCTTTCCATACGGTAACAATAGTTAATCTTTTTAAAATGGTTTAGATAATTATCAGACTAGTGTAACCTTAATATTGACATTTGGTTGATCTTATCTAATTAGTCTCTGATTACCTATTATCATCCCATTATCCCCCATAACGTTGTTAATCTGTTATGATGTAGACTGTTTTTTTTTTTTTGTATTTTCAAAAGACCTTCTGTGGTGTAAATGGGGAGCATTTGCGCTAAATTAGCACCTGTCTTAATTAAAAAGGTAATATTTTAATCGCTCTTCATGATAAAAGCGTGCAAAAACGTATTTTCCAACAGTCATTAGTTCGTTTCACAGTTCTCTGCTCTGCTGTGACCCCGTGGCTGTGACATTTTTACTCGCTGTCCTTGGCGCGTTGCTCTCCCCTCTAAAGGAGTTGCACGCTCCGCAGACATTACCAAAAGAGTCGCTACTATTTTTTGCCCCGATGGAACAGCCTCCGTGTGCACTGTGCACGGTTCAACCCTGAATGGGCCGGTCAGTGGGAGCTGCTGGAGTAAAACGCTTTCATAATAGTCAGCTAAGTCAGTCTTTATAATTAAAATAGTTTTAACAATTGGTGGAATGTAAATAAGAAGTAAACTTGCAGGCTACGAATTGCCTATTTGTACTTGATTTGAGATTTAAAACTACAATATTGTGGGCTATATATAAAATATTGAGAATAATAAGCCCCAGATACAATATTGAAATCCTGAATAGGGGGGGAGTGGGGACGAAAACACTCTTTCCTCAGGTAAGGACTGGGAGGAATTCCAATCATCCTCTTCCTCGCGGTCAGTGGGAGGGTCTGGTGCCAAAATGCCTATCACTGATTGGCTAAGAGGTGGGCCTCCTCTGCCAAGCCCACAGTACCACTGAGTATATATGTGCACTTAAGATGCTAGAGTCAAAAAGTAAAGGACGTTTTGGATAAGTGATATTTAACCCAACTTGTTATCCTGCAATACATCTAAAAAGGTAATTTGATTTTGTTTTTTAAATGAAAAGTATTTGAATTATTTGGATTTTACTTGACAAATAATGTGTTTGTTTGTTTATAGTGAGATGAAGACCCATCAGCCTCTTCATGTGGCCACTCCGCTGAGGCAGAGCCTTGCCCTGACTAAAGTAGCTGGGACTTCAGTTTACCTCAAGCTGGATTCATCTCAGCCCACCGGATCATTTAAGATCAGGGGCATCGGACACCTCTGCAAAACTGTGAGTACTTCTTCTCTGTTTTGGGGTGACTGGACCTTTCCTGTGTTGTGTCGTGCTAAACTTAGATTCAAAAAGATGTGAAAGAATTACTCATTTCATTTAATTATGTAAAAGTAGAAATACTTGGATCTTCAAATACTCAATTTAAAGTAACATTTGTGACCTCAAAATGTTACTTGATTAGATATACAGAAGTATTATCAGCCAAATGTACTCAAAGTATAACAGTAAACGGAAAAAGTACACGGAATGCAAAATGGCTCCTTTTATAGTATTATCATAGAATATCTATCCTGATTTTTATCACTTATTTATAAATGTAAGAGCAGTTTAATGTTGTAGTTGTCAATGTTGAGCCAATTCTAGATACTTTGTGTCAAACAAATGTACTGGAGTAAAGTGTATGGTATTTGCCAATGACATTTGGGGGAATTTAAGTTTATAGAACCATGAGAAGGAGATTCTCAAGATAAGTGCAAATATGTAAAAGCAGTACTTAAGTAAAGTAAAAATAATTTTGTTACATTCCACTATTGACCATAATGACCCTGTAACGGCCAGTTTAGGTGTGTCAGTCAGACAACTGGGATTGTTTTACACTCTGCATTTTGATCCTGACTGTTATGTCTCTTTTTCTTGTAGTGGGCAGAGCGAGGGTGTGAGCGGTTTGTCTGCTGTTCAGGTAAGCACTGAAGCAACACAAATAAAATCAATGTTAGAGTTATCTTTGCCTCTGGCGGTGTGTTTGAGTGTGTAATCTTTGAACCCTTTTGGTTCCAACAGGTGGAAATGCTGGTATGGCCGCAGCTTACTCCGCCCGTCAGCTCGGGGTTCCTGCAACTATAGTAGTACCAAGTGTTACACCAAACCCAACGGTGGAGAGACTGAAGGACGAGGGCGCCACTGTGGTGATCCATGGCAAGGTAAGCTAATCTCATGTGTTGTTTACTACAATCTTTACATCATAATGTCATATTTTTAAGCATAAATAGGATTAGTTAAGGTGAATTCTAGAGACATTTGAATTGCAATTTAAACAGGCTGACAACGCAAAATGGTTCAACACATGACAAGATGTTGTGTCTCTTTCAGGCACTAAATGAGAGCATTGAATACGGACAGCAGCTTGTGGCAAACAACCCCAGCTGGATATTCATTTCTCCCTTTGATGATCCGCTCATCTGGTGAGTTTATCTGAGTCTGCCTGTCATTCAGGGGTTGTGACAGCATGTACATTACTATGTACTGTGAAGGAATTCCTGCATAGATATCTAACTGTCATGAACAGATAAGAGGCGAAGACGTGATTAGATGTGAACATTTAATTACTTTTAGGATGTGCAAATGACTGATAGTAACTGTGTGTTATCATGCAGTGTCATCATACATGTATGAAGTGTTATGTCAGATAACATGGTATCTTATCACAGTGCTTACTTTATGGGGTGATCACATGTCACAGTCAAAATGTTACCAACAACCATAAATACAGTGAATCTCCTGATATGATGCATTCAAGGAATGGCTGTTTCTTTCTCACATTTTAATAAAAATGCATCCAGATTACTTTGAAACTAACAGGGTCTGTGTTGTGTTGTGTGCAGGGAAGGCCACACGTCTCTGGTGAAGGAGCTGGAGCAGGACCTGAAGGTGAAGCCGGGAGCCATCGTGTTGTCAGTGGGAGGCGGAGGCCTGCTGAACGGGGTGGTGGAGGGACTGCGCCGTGCATGCTGGGCTGACGTGCCCATTGTAGCCATGGAAACCATTGGAGCACACAGCCTCAATGCAGCAATGAAGGCTGGGGAGCTGGTCACTTTACCTGAAATTACCAGGTAGTTCATAAACAAAGATATCATACACAAATTATAACATTATCTGCTTTTTCTCACATAGTTCCTAGGATTGACCCTTCTTCTTTGCTCTCTAGTGTTGCAACCACTCTGGGCCTGACGAGGGTGTCTGCACAGACGTTTAAACTGGTGGGGGAGCACGCGGTTTTCTCAGAATTAGTCACAGACCAGGAGGCTGTAAAAGCTGTGGAACACTTTGTTGGTGAGTACAACCTGCTCCTTCACACTGATCCAAAAAATAGGTCTTAAACTGCTGCAGTGAGACTGACCTGTCTACTGGTGTGTCCTCTTCCTGCAGATGATGAGAAGATCCTGGTGGAGCCCGCCTGCGGGGCCGCCCTGGCAGCCGTGTACAGCGGCGTTATCAAAAGGCTGCAGAGCGAGGGCAAGCTGGCACAGCGTCTCGGCCCGGTGGTCATCGTGGTGTGCGGCGGCAACAACATCAGCATGGAGCAGCTAGCGAGGCTGAAAAAACAGCTCGGTATCGTGTAGTGCTTCCAACTACCTCGGGTCTTCCTGACCTTTCCTCTATTCCTTCATCTGCTGGTCTCGATCCATAAACCCCCGTCATTCACGTGCTCCATAGACCGAATCATTCCAGACTGAGACACTCCTGAGCGCTGACATGTGGAAAGAGATGCTGGAGGGATTGTTTTGTATCTTGTAAAGCCTTTATCATTGTGATGCTGTTCTGGTAGAGGTCGTTTTTCAACTTTTAGCAAAAAAAGTACACCGACACTTTCAGGTTGTATTAGTTTTAAGTTCGCCGGTATGTTTTTCTTCTGCTTTTGTACATTGAATTGTATTTAAAAAATAATAAATTATATTTCTGAATATTCTGCCTAAAGAATCATTTCTCCACCGAGACAATTTCTTATTCCTGACTGAGGATAGGATAGTATGTAAAATAGAGATGAGGCCACTCCCTCACAACATAAGCTTTAACTTACAGTCATGCATATGTATGAACATGAATATGTAAGTGGACTTCTACTTTTTAATGTGTTTACTATTTTTATATGAGATTTCTACAAATACTATTTTTATAATAAAACCATATAAATAGTCCAGGCAATATTAGCTTATCTCTCATTTCTGTCAAAATTGCAAGTAGAGAAATTCCAAATTAGGTTAATCTTCCTTATTATCTCTTTAAACAAACATCCCAAAAAAATGCTTCATTAGTTGTGTGTTTATACAATGTATTTATGCATTGCATTTGTCATGGATGGCCCCTTGACATGACTTCTGGATGTCTGACGATGTAAAGTTATTACTTTGGCTACAGCTTAAATACTATTCCTCCCACAGCATTAAACTATTCATTGTAAGACAATTCATGAATAGCCTCAGTAGCTTACTCTCTAATAAGATTTCTCTCTCCTCAGTGAGTGCTTTGGCAGACACAATGCATACACAATTAAATATTTGAGCCGCTGTGGTGCTTTATGAATAAATTAGCTAAATATAAAGTTGTACATTTGACCTACAACTTTAAAACAAAGCAGAGTAGCACAAGTAATTTTGTCAACATAGACATCCTAAAATTAGGTTCTTAGTCAGCAGCAGTGTTTGCCTTCCAGATGAAGGGGCACTTTAAAGGAAGAAGCTGTTTATAGGTCAGTCGCACGTCGCATGACCAGAGCAGACATCTCCACACCTTCTGAACACACTGAACAGAAGTCACTCAATTGGCTGGAGTTTTGGAGATGTGGCCCTTTTCAAAGTTTCTCATTGGTCTGGGGCTCATAAAAGCAGGTGGCAGGGCCCTTATGTGTGTGTGAGGGACAGTTGGTTATTTAACCAACAAGTCAACATGCTAGGGACATTCCTAGAATTCCTCCTGGGAAACCTAGACTTGGCATTAAACGTTTAAAATATTACAACTCGATACAGTTTATAATAACTGTCTGGCCTAAACTGTCTGGCCTAAACTGACAGGCACTTGAAATGATTTATAAAAGTAGACTGGAAACAATAGTACATTTATTTGATAGGATTTATATACGTATACTAGTTTTAATTATGTGACGTATTTCATTTTATTTTGTATCATTGTTTGTTTAATTACATTTATATCTGTTTTTGCTGAATGTGCTGTATAGCTTGGGGTGTGTGCATTATTCTGTGTTGTACTGTGCATTGTTTGAACAATCAATGAATTAAAAAAAAATCAAAAATACAAAAGGTTTACTTATATATAGATTTATGTTTTTGTGTGAACACGCTGTCCACAGTGTAGCTTAGCTTCTGGAGCAATTGGAAATATATCTTATTAACTGAATACAGTGTAACAAATATCTGACCAATTATTTGAGATGTTTACTGATGAAACCTTGCTCCTATAGTTACGGATAGTTCCTTTTGAATAGAGCATATAATGAGCAGGAGGGACAGTGAGTCAGTGAAAAGCATGACTGGCGATCCAGCTGGAACTGGCCTGGCCCAGATCTGAAGGTGTCTGGTTTACAAGCAGTTGTGACGAAACCAGAGTCGCAGGGTCCTTACATAAAGGGCATGCCCTAAAGCAGGCAAAACATGTTTTCACAGGCGTCAATCACCATGACCAACACTCATTGTCTTTGCACCCATGTAACAAGCATGTCCACACTGTTCAGATGTTATGCAAATGATAGTAAAAAAAGAAAAAACGTTTATGAAACCTGTTTTCCCCAACCAGACTGAATGTTTATCCCAGCAATGTCTTAAAGAAAAAATAACTAAAATAAGCACAGAAATGTAGAAGGGCAATATATAAAATACATAAAGCAGGACACAGTTTTTTTACATGAAGACATTTCTTTATTGTGACACAGAAATCTCAAATGCCATCCGATTCTTTACATCTGTATAATCCATTTTAGATATGTTACGTTTCTGATGTGCAGAGGTAAGACAGTAAAAGTTAAGTTAATGCAACCATAAATAATTGTAATAAATATCAAGTAAATGTACAGCACACATTTTTATCGCAACACCTCTTGTATGGATATGTCCTTTTATAACCTTATCTACTCCCCCAGAAGAGGAGCAAGTAGAGGAGAGAGCGTCCCCGTTAGCAGCGGTGTGTCACCCTTCAAAGAACTGAACCAAAATCAAAACTCGCAAGCAATTCAACAATCCAATATCCGTTATGTGTCAATTCTGGGCTGTATTTCAGTTCTAAGTAAAATGGCGATCTTACTCACACAAGAAAACATGTTTCACCATGAGTAGAAGAAATTGAATCCATCTGAGTACAAGACAAAAGGTGATAAGATTACTGGTATTTCCAAAATTCATAAAAAATAACCACACAACAAACGGGATATCCAACAGACATCGCCCAGTTTGCTCATTTTAGAATATTTTCTTGGAAGAGTAGTGCAAACGAAAAAAATAAAATTATAAGGTGAAGTGAGTTAGCAATTAATAAAAACTGCCATCAAACATAACTTCAGTCTATTTACATTTTTTTCTTTGATTTTATTTTTACACAGCTAAACATTTGGTTATGGGTAAAAGAAAGAAAGAAAAATAAACAATAAACAGCAGAATCCTGTTCTTCTTTTAATAAAGAAAACTATAAAAAGGCAGAACTCCAGATAATCCGCCACCCCTCCCCCAGTGTGTTTTGGGGAGCGAGGGGGGGTTGTTGCACATTCAGTAGCAGTAGCACACAAACAAAGTAGGAGAGTGGCTTTTGAGAATTTCTTCTCCTTCCAATTTTCACAAGGCAACACAGGTTCCACAAACCTGAAATGCGTATCCGATCCAACAGGCCTCTCCTCTCCACTGCCCTAACATGCCGCCAGAGCTACTCAGAGAAATCAAAGAGCAATTTCATAAACTAATAGATTATTATGACTTTTTACACGACTTAAATACCCTCTCTTCAGAGACTTGGATAAAATGTATTCAGTTTATATAGGCATAAGTTACTTTGTCCATTAGAAGTTCATATTTTTTTTTAAAACAGGCAGTAAACTACATCATATCCTGTACACCACTTGTTCCCATCTTCTGCCTGCTCATAGCGGAAAAAATAGGCAGCAACACACATCCCCGTAATGTTGCTAGTAGTCGTACCTCAAAACTCAATTCAGTGGAAATCAGTGGTTTTCTCTCCAACATCACCCTCTGCAGAGGCTCCTACAGCAAAGGCATGTTTCAGAACATCACCCCCACAGAGGGGAGACAGAGAGAGGCAGCTAGGTTAGGCTTTAGGAGAGTAAGTTTGTCTGTTGCCTTCACAGCAGTGCAACGTTTACAATACTATAATGTCACCGCAGATCTGATGACATCCTGTTAAGTTGTTCAATTCACAGAACTTGACTGAATGTTGTTAAACCCTCTTTTTAAATTAGGGGAAGGGAAAAGTCAAAACCAAAACTATGTCACAGTTGTTTTACTTCAATGCCATCATCGAACTCAGTGCAACGCAGACACGTGTTAACAGTGTCAGATTAGCTTCCCTGAATTCTTCACAAAAATATGCTTCAAACTAAATTTAAAAAAAAATGTAGCATTTGTGTAAAAACAAAGAAAGCAGGGATTAACATGCAAAGCATTAACAGCAACTCAAAATGAAATTAAAGTGGTGTGTCTCAGAGGAAGGGGACGCTTGTGGACGTAGGGCTGTCAAGTCTTCTTAGCCGCTGAGAGGGTCCTCGCGGTAGTGGATGGCGTATCGCAGTTTCTCCAGCATCACATCCAAAGAGCTGTACTGGGGCAGCTTCACCATGAACATACAGGTCTCCACGCGGATGTAGCGAGAGTCAGGCTGACCTGGAGAGGAGAAAAACAGCAAGGTGCATCACAACAAAATCGCTTCTGTTGCACAATGAATCCAGGTATTACCACTGGAGGTCTACGTGAAACTGCAGGAACAAGTGATAATAAGCCTGTTTAGCTGAGAAAAGTAAGCATTATCTTATCTGTAGATAACTGAAGTAGAAAGTGATTAAAAATAGTGAGTCTGGAAACTACAAGGAAAAACTACTCTTCTTGGAAAGATGTGAAAGTCACACATCAGAAACTATTAATCTTCCTTCATGTAACAGCTGCATACGTCAATTGTGCAAATCTATTCATTTACAGACACAAGCAAGCTATCACAAACATGTCCAAGGTCTGTCTAAAGTTTTAAGACAAGACGAGCTTTGATTATAGCTATCAGTACTTTCTGCACTAACAGCACTAAGAAGATAGAGAGATGGACAGCACAGTTTAATCGCGGCTCTGTTGAAACCTTGTTAGCCATTACCTGCAGCACCATCAGGAGGGGCGATCTTCATTGGGTACGGGGGGACGTGGGCGGTGTCGGGCCCCCCGTCCTTGCAGGGGCAGGTGAACGGTATTCTCTCCTGATTGCAGGCAAACTTAATGAACTTGCAGAGCTCCTCTTGAGTGAACATCTCCAGCGCGCTCCAGAAGAACTCGATGTGCTGGTCGGTCTCCATCAGACCCACCTGATACATGGTGTGAGCCTGCAGAGGGATTACATTTCATCAATACTTAACTGTAAGGAAATGAGGTGTTTCTCATGTAAACCGCTGACATGTTTATTGGTGATATAAACAGACTTCAACATTTACTGTCACAAGTGTCTGCATCACCTTAAGGAACTCCAGGTTGATGTAAGGCAGGCCGCAGGTGCGTAGCTCCATCTCTAAAGGGATGAGCATGGTGAGTAGCTGCAGAGGAATGATGGCGCCGAGCCCTGAACGCACCGCCGTCATACACTCCACGTTCTGCAGCTCCCGCAGACGGAGGCTCCGCACTGCCCGCGCATACATGTCCTTATTGTCCCAGCTTTAAAAACACAAACACACAACATTTGAAGATTGAGAATGAGAGTATTGTAGAGACGGTTCGAAACAGTTGATAATGAGGATGGAATAAGACAACGATGTGATTCCTGTACCTGACGATGAGGCTGCGACCTCCCTGACAAAGCTCCACCTCCTCGCCCGTCATAGTGATGTATGTGAAGGTGCAGCAGGGCCGGCTGGGGGAGTCGGGGCTTTCTCCCGAGTGGTGCTGGGAGGAGATCTCAGCACACAGGGCCTCCAGCTCCGCCTCATCACTCGCCTGAAGGGTGGAGAACACACGTCTCATTAACGTCATTAGAACTACGTTGGTAAGTTTATTTATATAACACATTTCAGACGCAGAGGCAATTCAAAGTGCTTTACATGATCATTAACACATGGTAGTAGAACAGAGAGGAACACAATAAATAAACATAATGGAATAACAGTTTCATAAAAAAAATGCTTTAATGAGATATAAAGTAGTTTAAAAACGACATTGTAAATACGGTAAGTGCTAAAACAAGTTAAAAGGCTTCTGGGTAAGCAGCTGTAAAAAGTAGTGTTTTTAGCCTCGACTTAAAATAACTCAGCGTTGGTGAAGACCTCAGGTTTTCTGGAAGTTTATTCCATTTGTGGAGAGCATAAAAACTAAAATCAGCTTCGGCGTGTTTGGTTCTGAGCCGGGGAACAATGAGTAATCCCACCCCAGATGAGCTCTGGGGGGCTCGTAACAGGGCAACATGTCAGACATATATTGGGGTCCCAAACCATTTAATGCTTTATAAGTTAACTATATAATTTTAAAATCGATTCTGTAAGCTACTGGTAGCCAGTGCAGTGACCTGAGTACTGGGATGATGTGTTCTACTCTTTTTGTTTTGGTCAGGACTCTGGCAGCGGCGTTCTGGATTAGTTGTAGTTTTCTAACCGATTTCTTAAAGAGACCTGTAAATACATTACAGTCATCAAGCCTGCTAAAAACAAAGGCGTGAACTAGTTTTTCAAGGTCTTGTTGAGACATGAATGTTCTAAGTCTGGCTATGTTTTTCAGGTGATCGTATAATGATTTAGTAATTGTGTTGTTGATATGGGATTTGAAATTGAGGTCGGGGTCCAGAACTACGCCAAGATTTCTCACCTTTTCCGATGTATTTAGCAGCAGGGCTTCTAGTTTAATAATAATAATAATAATAACTTTTATTTATATAGCGCTTTTCAATAACCCAAAGTCGCTTACAAAAACAATTAAAAGTACAGAAAGGGGGTGAACAGGCAGAAGACAACATATTGGACAAGAAAATTGAACATGAACATTACATGAACAGGCAAAGGACAACANAATAAATATAAATAATTAAACTTAAAAAAAAAAAGAATCCCGTTTCCCTCAAACTTTGCGTGACCCCCCTGGTGCCCCCTTGCGGCCCCCCGGGGGGTCAGGGCCCCCACTTTGAAAAACACTGACCGAGCCCACAGAAGGTGATTATAGGTGACGGAGCAGTGTGGTTGTTTTTTTGGCATCAGTGCCTGAACTCTGGCTTCTGCTGGTGACATCTGATCTTGACTTGTCAAAACCAGAGCCCTCTCCCCTCTTTGTCCAGCCTGTGTCGAGGCTGAGAGCCCTTTGTTACGGGGAACCATCCAGCCCTGGTGCCTTTCACCGACAGTGGGAGCTAATTAAAGAGCTATCAGCGTTGCTCCCTCTCATGGGGTCGGTTAGTAAATTCACAATGTGAGAGGGTTAAAAGACTGCGCCGCCATGTGTTTTGACATCAGCTGTTGACAAGATGTTTACATAGTGAGGCGGGGAAGGCGACCCAGACATATGACTCATTAATGTCTGTCATCTGTGGAACATATAGAGTAGACAGTGATTCAAACATGGCAAAGCACATGGCTCTACATGAACACTGTGACATGTTTGCATTATATATATATCTCAATTCCTTTTTAGCTTCCTTGCTGCCACACATTGCATAGGATGTTCTTGACAGTTACAATACACACTATAAACCTTGTCACGGCCGACGGTGCGGGACACACCAAATTGAGTTTGGGCGACAGGGCACGCTTCGTCGTCCGACTAACGAAAACGGCCGATTTCGCCCTGGTGTGTCAGGGCCTTTATAATCAATATCACCTTGTTGTTATCTGGCCCTCCTTTTTATGCCCAGTTTTTCGAAGCGCAGTTACAATGCTCGGTTCTTTTGCTAAAGAGAATGCCAGAATAGCACTTCAGTAGACCTCTTCCTGCATATATTTTCTCTCTGAATATAGAAATACTTTTGTTTAGTTTATTTATTTTTTTCGAGCGTGTAAAACCAAAGAAAATACAAATGAAACAAAAGATGATACAGTACTATACAAATGAATGCAATAACAAAACAAAATATTTAATTAATAATTGAATAATCTGTAGTATCATTTGAATGTGTTCAGTTAATAGTTCAGAGGAAAAGCAGCAAGTGAACACTGCACACGTCAAAGTAGGTTGCTCATTACGTCCTGCTGAGAGTCGCAGTGTAATAATAATAGTCTCTCTGCTGCATTTCTTTTAGAAAATATATTTTATAACAATTAAAAAAAACAGCATTTAAATTTCCAGCACATTACATCAGATCTTTTCCATTATGCAAGCCTTGTATTATTCCACTTGCAGTTCCAGAAATTCTTAACAATGAGCTTTCACTTGTGTTTCATTGTGTGATTAATTTGCCAAATTCTTCTCCAGGGGATCTCTGAAGACCTTCATCCACACAGTTCACCTCCTGCAGAAACAAACAGATCTGGGCCAGCTCCCTGTGTCAGATGTCCTGTACAGGTGAGAGCATATTTTTGGTTCTTTAAAAAAATAATTATTAGATCCTTTTTCCATTGTGTAACCACATTGTAATCTCTCCTGCTTCAGACTTTTGCTCCTGGAGGGAGGTCCCGGCTCTCCGTCCTGCCTCCTGGGGGGCAAACACAGCGTGTCCTGGGGTTTTGAGGACATGCTGCCCACACCTGATAATTCTGCTGGAGGAGTAGAGAGTAAAGGTAGAAACCCTTCCTGTCATTTGTTAAACTATAACCATAAATAACAGGCTATAATAGATGCAATATGCGGTTGTGATTAATTACACATTGTATGTCTCGTTGCCTTCATAACCTCCCTTCCCCTCTAAAAAATCTTTAGAATATTTGTAATGCTTTTGTCTGTAATGCAAGTGTAGGAGTGAGGAGAGTGTGTTAAGGCTTATTTTGCCATATTTGATTGCATCCGACAGAGGCTCATTACTGCATGTCGTCTCCTCTCTCTCTCTCTCTCCGTTTCCTGCTTTATTTCAGCTGTACCATAATATAAGAACATAATAAATATAATTTTTAAAAAGCCCCAAAATAATCTTAAAGACAAATAAAGATGTGACTGTGAGGGGGTAAAGCAGTGGAGTGGAGAGGAGAGTAAAGTTCAGGGTAAAACAATCCATCAGCTGACCTTGTAGTGTCAGAAGCTGATGAGGGCATATATCCATTGAGGTTGTTTTTTGCATATTTACATTTTAATGTAACCAAACTCGAGATCAATTGTCCTGGATACCTGAATGAATCAAAAATGAAAAATAACAGATGCCATCACTTCCTTGTTTAGCACCCTTATCCTCTGCTCCCACTTTCCACTTCTTCCACTCCCAAGTTGATACCCCCTCCTCTTTTTCATCATGATTATCTGTCATCTGTCTGTATGTTCTCTTATATTTTGTGTCCCTTTGTCCTGCAGACACTGACCTGGGGCGCTGTCTAGCCACCGACGGGCTCTATCTGTACACCACCAACTCCTCTGGGAGAGGACTCAGCAAGCTTGGCTCTGGTTTACATGGGACACTGAGGTAATGTGACTCCCCTCCTCAACTCACTTTCTCTTTCAGCAGCATGAGAAAGAGAGAAAGACGGAAGAAGAGGGTGAAACCCTAAAAGTACCCTTTATCACTTACCCATCCCATGGCACAGGGTTATTTCCTGGATGTTTTTTTTATCTGCAGTACACAGTCACATCCTGCCGAACTGTCTTGGATTGATTTGGTTGATATTTAAAGGAACAAAAGGACATTTTGTTCTCTGCATCCTAATTCCATGCTGTGGTAGCACATACTGTTATTAAAGCAAAGGACAACTCCCTTCTAGTTAGTTTTGAGTTCAGGGATCCCAGAGTTACTTGCAGAAAAGATACACGTGCCGGGTTTAGGAGTTGGGTAACTGTACACTTGAAGTATTAAACAAACATTTCTGTAAGGAAATGTAACTCAGTGGAAACAATATAATTAACTAGAGCATTTTTTACAATTTATAGCAAGGGAAACAACTGTGAACTTTTGACATTGTCAGCACTGAAAAGGCTACTCACGATGCTTAATTCTGTGGGAACAGGTGCATTTTGTAGGTTATGTAAGCATGTGATTTTTGTTGTTGTTGCTACTCACCTCATGTTTCTTTCAATCCAAAGAGTGACCCCTAAACTGGGTTTGCGACCAAAAGGTCCACCTTGAAATATTCAATAATCACACAATACAGAGCAAGTTAACAGGTGCACTGCGTTTGTGTTTGGACAGGGGTTTTGTGTACTGTCGAAATGAAGAGCTTGAGCCTGGCTGGCTGGTGTTCAGCAGTGGTCGCCTCCTCCACCGCCCGTCGTCCTTCGATGCAAAGCCTCATCAGCTGTGCCAGGTCATTGACCCCTTCACCCTCCAGGTACTATATACTATAGTCCACTATTTTAATTTTGAAGTTATATCATTCACTAGACCTGTAATTGTACGTCTTGAAGCAATTATTTTGTATCAACACGAGTGAGACAAATACTTATTAATCATTTTAATGCAATTTATAAAAATGTAAATAATTTGATTATGGAAACAAAGGATAAAGGCTCACAATGGGGCAGCCAAAATGCAAATACAAGAGGTGACGATGAACAATTGTTAATTGGGTGCAGAAACAGGGTATTTTATAAGCCGTGTCCATGCCAGCTCTGAGTTGATATGACAAACGTAGGTGTAACCAAGCCGTACATTCCCTGTGCTATTTTCAGGTGTGCCAGATTGTGCCCATGCCAGCCCACCACTTCCCTGTTGGCAGCAGCATGACCACGCTGCACCTCTGCTCAGATGGAACCTACCTGTACTGGGTCTGGTCCCCAGCCAGTCTTAATGAGAAGACACAGAAAGGCCACTCTGTCTTCATGGATGTCTTTCTCCTGTCTGTGAGTACTGTTTGCCCTGCCATGCACGGTACTTCCATTGCGTGTATGTCTGTGTTCCCTGTTTGATGTTTTCTCTCCCTTCCTGCCCTTGGTGCAGACACAGATAGGGTTGTGTGTTGCAGACATCTTGCAGGAGAGAGTTATTTTAACTCGCAAGGAAGGCGAGTCTTCAAAGTGCTTGAATGAGCTTCTCCTGAGTCGAATGTCTCGCTTCCGGGCCTCCCATTCTGCCACATTGGCTGCTCTCACAGGCTCTGCAATCACCAACACGGTCAAAGAGGAGCAGTCAGGTAACTCAACAGCAGAACTTCAAAATCAACATCAATCCATGTTGGATATTATGTTTACTGAATACTTTCCGGTAACAATTTCTGATTACCTCTTTTATAGCTGTCAACACCAGCTGTGGGCTCCCTCTCAAGACCCTGAGAAAGACCCCTATGTATGTGTGTGGAACCTACCTAGTGATGCTGGTCTCACCCCCGGGTGTATCTGGGAGCTCAGCCACTCGCTCCCTATTTGGAGGAACCAGCAGCCTGTCCTCTCTGAAAAGTAAGAGCATGCACAGCACAGTCATTTGTAAATCCTCATTGAGTTTAGTTTTTTGTCATAAATTCTGACATTTATGCAGTGTTTTAGTTTTGATGCTGAAAATACATGACATTATTATATGAAAATACATTACAAAGAAAGGATCATGTTACGCAGCTGGATGACAAAACATGTTCTGATTACAGCTAAAGTCTTAGGTTAAGATTGATTATAGTTTTGTTACATTACATTTGATCACACACAATGTTATAAATAAACATTAATAAGCCTTGTTGAAGAAATGCATCATTTTATAATCGATGAAAAGTTCAAAAGAAATGTTGTAGAAACCCAATGCTTTTAACTAAAGGCTGAAGAATTGTAAAAAACGAGTTAATTCACTAAACGTAACTTTTCTTTGCACAGTATTAGCCTCCAGTCTGGTTTTTAACCTGGCTGACGGACAGTTTAGCAGCCGCGCAGACCTCATCGATGCTCCTGGCAGCTCTCTCGGCAGGGGAGCACAGGTGGCGGGGCTAGGTGAGCAACACTTTTGTCACCTTAAGACTCTAATATGTTGAAATAGCAGAGGTGCCAAATTAAGTGACATATAACTCTTCTTTGGCTTCATAGGAGCATGTTACGATGCACTGAACAACCTGATCTGGACGTGCTCAAGTGATTACATAGATCAGTGGTGCAATCCGGGGAACCAAGCCTTCCATCATGTGTGTCACAGGCTCGGTGTCAGCCACGTCATCAAAGAACCCAAAGGTAGAAACATATATCCCTGAAACCCAAAGATGCTCTTTGTATTATCAGACTTTCTAGACTTCTAAGATATGTATTCATTTACAGACGAGACAGTGGCCACCGGCGAGGTGATCAACCAGCTGCTTCATCATGTGGGCGCAATGTGTATACATCAGCTCAACCTGCTGGCAGCCAGCAGCAACAGCCTGCCCCTGGGGGCCCTGCTGGGCAAACAACACCCCATCGAGGCCCGTCACTTCAGCAGCATCTGTGACATTATGGAGAAAGCCATGGTCAACGGAGACACCTGTATCATCCGCTGCATCTTGGTGGTGTTCCAGGTCAGTTCGAGGTGCAGCTGGGGACAGTTTTGCAGAAAGTGACTCAGCTATTTCCTCAGATTCAGAAATTCCTGTGGTTTTGAGTAGTGTTTTTCTCTCTGGCCTGTGCAGGTGGTGTTTAGGTTTTTCAATCCTCAGTCAGAGCAGAATAGGGAGAGTGTGCGTCGCTCAGGCCTTCTCCTGTGGCAGCTACTGATGGCTCCATTGGATCAGATCGGAGCAGAGATTCAACGAGAGGTGTGCCTCGCCATCAGGTAAGTCTGAAATTCAACATTAAGTCCAGGGGCCTCATTTATAAACGGTGCGTACGCACAAAAGATGGCGTACGCCAGTTTCTACGCACTGTTTGCGATTTATAAAAAACTAACTTGACGGGAAATGTGCGGTCCTCCACGCTAACTCTGACTCATGCGTACGCACTAAGCACAAAAAGGGAGGGACGAGAAACTGCGACACCTTTGGCAGAAAGAAGAATGGAGAGAAATATGTGGAAATAACACCATAAATAAAATGTTACCTCATTTATCATATATGAAGAATTCATTTTCACAAATGGATTAAAGCCAATCTTAAAATGAAACGCCTGCTTGAGACTCCTCAGTGCTCACAAAAACATAACTTGGAGAAATAAATAAATACGGAAATGTTATTGATCACCCCTCGATTATGTTCTCTTGTTAAGAAATGTATTCTCATAAATGATGCGGTAAGCAGAAGGACAGAATTACTTCAAACTGACGCCCTTTTGCTTTTCTACAGGTTGTATAGATACGAGCATGCTTTTATATACTATCATGTTTAATCATGTTTTATGCCGTTCGCCAATAGCCTTCTTGATAAGTCGCTCGTAAAACACAGGAGGTATGGAAACTAAGAACACCATATGTGGTCAATTGTACAGCTAATATAACACAACACATTAGTTGTATTTCCTTTAACTGGTGGATTATGGATATAGTTGCTGATCGAAAGCTGGAACACAAACCACCAAAGACAAACAAATTCCCTGATCATTTCTTACAGTTTCTCATCAAGGTCAGGTGTTTGTACCTGTCCCTGGTGCAAACACACTGCCTGAGGAAGGTTAGGCTATGTGTATTTTTTTTGTCATTAACCTTTTTCTAACCACTTATTTATTTATTTTGGTGACGATCCGACCTCCATGCTGCTCTTCTGGTTCAAACTGCATCCACCAAACAATATGATTTATCTCGACCTCCCCAAAATAACCTAAATCTGACACGGTGTGAGATTAGCTGTTCTGTCGTCATTTCCTGCGATCTTCTTCATGCAGTCAGTCAAAATGAATGAATGGGCGTTTCTTTGACTATTTATAGGCAAATATGGGCGTTACGTGAAGCACGCAAAAGCTGCACCGCATTTCGAGTTGATTGTGATTTATAAAGGGAAACCAGCGTAGGATGTGCCGTACGCAAGTCCTGTGCCGGTACGCAGTCTTTTATGAATCGGGAAGGGTCGGTGCGTATTTATTTGCTTTGTCCTACGTAAGCAACCTTCCCACGCCAATCCTACGCAAGGCTTTATAAATGAGGCCCCTGGACACTATTAATAAGTACAGTATATGTGACAGAAGTCATTGTTAACATTTTGTTTAAAAGATTAGATTAGATTTATTTTATTATCTATCTCAGTGCAAAATCGTAGATAGGAGATAAAAAACACACGATTTAAAACATAGAAATACAAAATAAGTTTATTATTTGTAATAGTGCAAATTGACAGTGAGCATCCAATAAGTTATATCATTAATTACAGAGGATTGCAGCTTATAAAATAGCAAGTTTTCTCTGACTAATTCATTCTGAGACTAATGCAATTAAAGAATTATTTAATATGTTCTGGCTGACCATTTAACGATCTTGGACAGCTTGTTGTTTTGCACTCAAGTTGCTGTACCCTGCTGTTATTTTATATGATATGAATGTTATGGTAAATGCTTTCAACCAGGCTTCTGTTCCATTTCAAGTACGTGTTGGCAAAAGCAAAATCTCCACAGCTTCCTGATTTAAAAACAATCACTAAGTGGCTCCCTTAGAAATGCTGTTTCAGATCTTATTAAAATTAGGGTCTGATCAATAATAGTGCCTAAGTAATACTTTTCCTACAGGCTGATTATTGAATGTGACATGGCGGATATTACTGGTTCTAATTGCTTTTGTTTGGAAATGAGTATGGCCAAAACAAAACCATTCATAATCCAGTTACCTTGTCTGACACCAGCCTGAAGTACAGTGACCTGGCTGAAATCAGCCTCCTCACGTATGGGGTTGTCTATCAGTAGGAGACTACAGGCCTTATTATAAGCATATTTGAACATTAATGCTGCACTGTATAATCAGTTATCATAATGATATTTAAATGTGTCTTCTTTGTTTATCTCCCCTCTGTCCCTTTAGCTCAGGCCTGAATACTCTGTATCAGGGGGAGGCTGAACTCAGCAAACTGCTGAAACTGGTTTTAACTGAAGGTGACTATGACACTAAAGACACATCTGAATATAACTTGCTAGCTGTGGTGCAATCTAATACATCTAATATTCTGTATCTATGTGACACTAAGGTGAAAGGAACAGCGGGTTGTCTCATCTTCGTGATGTCATCCTGACCAACCTGGCAGACCAACTGCAGAAAAACAGATTTGGTAGTGAAGAGGATGACCACTACAGGTAAGTCGCTGTTCTGTACAGTAGGGTGCAATATCATTTCCAGCACAGCACAATGTTGTGTCTTCTGATAAAATACACTTTCTCTAAGTGATAATAATCTCTCTCTTTGACAGATTGAGTGATGAGCTGCTTCACTGTATCCTCAAGACTGTAGTCCGGGAATCCTGCCTCGTCATTACCAAATGTCAGACTGTGGCCCGAGACGACTTCCAGAAGCTGCTCTCCACTGTGCCAGTACGACCATCAGCTCGGCAGAAAGACATGCCATCTGTGTTGATTAGGATCAATTGTTTTGTGACATGGCACTCGTATTCACTAGAGACGTTTTTTGCCCCCCTCTCTGCAGGTGGTCTCACCCAGTCTGCGCTACCTCATGGCTGTTCAGAACCACCTCCTCAGTAACACTATTCTTATCCGTCCCGATGATAACGATGACAGTGACAGCTCCCTTCAAGGGGAAACAATCCAGGTAAAGGTAATAACCCCCTTTAATACCCCTACCTCTGTGCATGTGGAGTCTGTTTGTGTGTGTGTCGATGAGAGAACAACCCACCAACGGAGCAACGGGAGATCAATGATCTTTTGATCGCCTTTATCAAATATCAGTTAACAGTACTATATAAATGAAGGACATGTTTCCTTTTCTCATCAGGAATCATGGTTACTGATAACAGGATGCAAGTGAAACATCTCACAGCTCAGATTGTGCTTCATTTAAAGAAATATTGTTTGTATAACTTCCATTTTGCATGAAAGAGATGATAATCGAAAGTCTTGAGTTACGTAAGTTTGGGTATATTGTGTTTGTGTGGTCCTCAGGAGTTGCAAAGCAGCATCCTCTCCCTAGCAACCAAGATCCTGGTGGGATGTGATGAAGTGCTGGAGACGCTGCAGCAGGTGACCACAGCGCTCATCAACAGCGACATCGTTGACAGAGAAACCAGGTGAACCTTTCACTTTTTTTTCCTAAATCATCTTCTCAGGGTGGGGAAAATAAACCAGCCACAGTGGCTCCTGCATACCTTTTTTATAAAACGTATTCATAATATCGTATCTTATTATATTGTCTGAGCAGACCTTTTAAACTAATCTGTTGTCAAGTGTTACAATTAAACCATAATGTAACAAATGTAAAACCAGACTTGATGTTCTCTTAGTTCGCTGTAATGCGCTGTTTCACCATGAACCAAGATTTAGCTTATCCTTGGTAATGCTGCAGCCTCCCTTAGAAAGATTAAAAGAGTGCATTTTTGGACGCAGAGTTTTTGAATCATTGTGTCTTTGTCTTACCTCTTCAAATGTCCTTGTTTTTCCGCCAAGACTCCATAACATTAACATTACATTTTTGCCTTTTCTCTTCTGCTTGTTCAGGTTGAAAGGCCTGGAACAGGTAACCAAGGCGACCATGCTCGGTCACCTGCTGCCAGTGTTGCTCACGTCTCTGATGCACCCCAACCTGCAGACCCTCACCCTCGCTGACGCCCTCATGCCTCAGTTGGTGCAGCTGGTCCTCTACACCAGCCAGGTTGGATTCTTGCCAGTCCAAAACACAATTCCTCGATTGAACAAAACGTTTGAAAAGCAATCATCAATAAAGTATTTGTTTCCACTCTGTTTTCAGACTGCCCTGCTACTAAAGACTCAGTCCCCGCTCTTCACTGAAGAGCCTCCACCTTTGAGCGGCTCTCTGGGGCCAGGGGCGAAGGCTTGTGCTGCTGATGACAAGTATGTTTTCTGAAGGACTATAATAAGAAGTGTAACGACTAACATGTGATGAAGCCATCTGATAAATACATGCTCCATCAAAACATCTTATACAAAGGCATTTCATGAAATGGCAGCTGTTTTGTCTGTCCGATGCTCAGTTTTCTTAAACCTGTAATACATGTATTCTTCATTTTAGAATTCTTGATGAACGTGAGGAGCCTGGTTTCCTGACTGGGCTGAAGATCCCTGCCCCATGGGCTGCTGGGAAGACAGTCGAGACGGTGCACCCGGTGAGGGACAATTACAAGTTCAAAGAGACGGTCCACATCCCAGGAGCCCGCTGCCTGTACCTTCGCTTTGATGCTCGCTGCTCATCACAGTATGACTATGACAAGGTACTGATTCCTGCAATACACTAACTGTATGAACAATGGCCTTAAAGGTAGGGTATGTAAGTTTGAGAAACCGGCTCGAGATCGCTAGAATTTGAAAATACACAACCGGAGAAAATCTGCCACTTCCTTACAGAGCCCCTCCTCCAACACACACGAACGCGCACATGACCAATGAGGGCACGAGATAAGTTTGTGCACAGATGGAAGGCTGACAGGCAGGTAGTCCATCCATGATTGGTCGTGCTTTTTACAGCGCCACAGCTTCCACAGATGACCATTTTTTTTATGGATTTTTTGTCAAAGCACTTCAGATATTCATTGCTATCGGGATGTTAAGAGCATTCCATGGAATATAACAAAAAGTGTTTCTCGAGCCGTTTCTCAAACCTTTAATACTCAGTATCTCTTACATACAGTGTGTGTAGTTTCTCTGGTATAGAATATCACTGGTTGCGTAGATTTTACAGGAAACATTTTCTCTGATATTTTAGTTGGTTATCTACGCTGGCCCTAACACGAACAGTCGCAAAGTAACAGAGTATGGAGGGAACACTCTGGGATATGGCAGTCGCAGTGTCTTGGGGACAGGATGGCCTAAAGACCTGGTCAAGGTAAGAGCAGCTGATCTGCACAAACATACACAGTGAACACAAAGTGCACATACAATCTTGTAGAGCTGCGTTTTTTTACTATGTTGTGCTTTAGGTTGAAGGAGACACTGTGACGTTTTCCTTTGAGATGAGAAGCGGACGTGAACACAACACCCCCGATAAAGCCATGTGGGGGTTCTCCTGCACCGTCAGAGCTCAGGTAAAACGTAGAAGTACTTAAATACCCATATTTGGCATTTAATGCAAAATACTACTGCAGTGTGGAACATGAAGAACAACAGCTAATTCTGAAGATGCCTTTTTCTTTTCCTTTAGGAGTCATCCGAGGATGTCTCTGGAGGCCTCCCTTTCCTGGCAGACCTTGCCCTGGGGCTGTCAGTGCTGGCTTGCTCAATGCTCCGCATTCTGTATAACGGGCCAGAGGTGACAAGAGAGGAAGAAGCCTGTCACGATTTACTCTGCTCAAAGCTGCTGCAAAGGTGACACAGCTAGACGAAAATACCAGATAAATGTCTCCCTGTGATATTGATTTCCTGTGTGATAAATATAGTACAATGTAAGAATTGGTGCACGCTCTCCAGTGACACATAGTTGAACACAGCACAACTGTTTGCAGACTGATGACAGGCTGTGTGTTTTCTCTAGGTGTCAGTGGCAGGTGGAAGCAAATGGTGCGATCTCTCCTGCCCTCACGCCCAGCCCCTCACCTCTGCCCCTGACCATTGAGGAGGACCGGGAGTTCACCTACCCCTCCGATGTGCTCATCCCACCCCCAGGCCTCATGCCGGGGGCATACTTTGACCTGCCTCGTATCCGCCTCCCTCCAGGCATCATGGGTAGGCTACGAGAGGTGTCTGGAAGAGCCCGACCTCAATTCCGTCCTAGCATCAAGTAAGAGGGTCATGCTGTCACAGTAAAGAGGGTATGCATGTGACATCACTGTAGACAGGGAAACAACATGGACGGTTTTACAGACTACAAAAGGCTAAAGAGAGGTGAAGCAACATAAACACTTAAACTAAGCCCACAGTTTTGTAACTGAGTTTATTATGAAGATAAATATATTTTCAAACTGGTTCAAAGACTATAAGAATAGCCTTGTCCTTGTGATTTTGATTAGTCTTTAAGACATTGTGCCTTTTAAAGTAGAATATTTAGACTTTTTTGGGTCTTGCATTATTTTGTTGACGCACTAAATGTATGATTTAGTTTTGATAAATGTTTCCTTTAGTATTGCGGCTTTACTAAGTCATAGCAGCTTTTGTCTGTTTATTGGATAAAGTGAAACTTCTTTAAAAGAATATACTGATAAAGTGATTCTCATAAAACTGTTTGGTTTCAAAAGCATAACTGTTTTGTTCTAAACCATTTGTTTCTAAGAGAGGTGATCAGGCCCGATGTGATGGAGGAGGTTATAGTATCCTGTGTCATTAAACACCTGAGCCTGGTGGATGCCCTTCAGTCACTCGTCAACTACCAGCACCGCGAGGATCACGCAGAGGAGTATGACCTGGTCTGTAAGATTATGGCTGAGACCTTCAAGAAGATCAATGCCATGGAGCGTCAGCTGCAGGTGAGCCACAGTTACACAGTTTATAAACGAAATGCTTTGAATTACCGTAATTTTCGGACTATAAGCCGCGCCTTTTTTCCCATTTTTCGACGCTGCGGCTTATATAACGGTGCGGCTAATCTATGGATTTTTACAGCTAACGGCCACTAGGGGACCTCCTAAATCTATGGATTTTACAGGTTACAGTCCACCACCTTTAACTCTATGGGCTCTATGGCCGGTCCGCGCCCCCCACCTTTAAGCGGCGGGCTCAAGCAGGAAAAGCTGGAGGCCGGAAAAGAGTGAGACAGGTAGCGCGCAAAAGTAAAAGTGGAACCGAGAGTGGTACGAGAGACAGAACGAGAGCAAGACAGACAGACATTACGAGAGCGAGACAGTTTGTCCCCGTACCACTGGTTGAAAACCGCTGCTGTAGATCACTGCCGGTACGTGCGCTGGGAGCGCACCGTTTAAGTTTGAAAGTTGAAAAGTTTGTGTGTCTGAAACGCTATGTGATACAGTACAGTTTACACAGCACAGCACATGTTCTGTAGCTACTATTGCACTAAATGGTAACACTTGAATACGTTATGCAAATATGCAACTTGTTTGTTGAAATGTTAATAAATGGGAGCTTCCTCAAACAGCCATCTCTTTCCCGACAATCCCCTCTGTGCACGAACCCTTACATATGGTAATTAAACATTAAAACACCTGCGGCTTATAGTCCAGTGCGGCTTATATATGTACACATCATTCAATTTAGCTGCTGCGGCTTATATTCAGGTGCGCCCTATAGTCCGAAAATGACGGTAGGTTGCTTGCTATTAATGGAAGACATACCGTGCACACTATGCATGTTTGTCTTTAATTAGGCTGCTTTGAAAAGTTTAAAATAAGTACTTCCTGTTTGCTACAGGGAACAGTATTAAATGGGAAATGTAATTTGCATGCTGTTATTGGAAAGCTATTTTTATTAACAGGCAAGTTGATTTGCAGGGTATATTAAATCTACCTTATGATGTTGTGAGTCATCACTGTGCTGTGGATTTGAGAACAAATGCAAGAGAGATTTTCATTATAGGCCGCATATTAAACTACAAGCTTAAATATTAGAGTAATAGTCCAAACGATAGAATAGGTTATCAATCAAATAAGGATAAACAGAAGACCTGAGATTGGCTTAAAAAATCGAAATCAAAAGTAAATCAGGCTTCCAACCGGAACGGATATAATAAGTGTGCGTTTTACTCTGTGCCTAATTATCTCCTGTTTCTTTCAGAGTGTTGCAGAATTGGAACAGAAGTGGCAGAATGAGGTAGAGGAGGCCCAGCAGGGGAAGCTGGAGAACAATACTCCTTTCTTTCACGACTACCACTTCTTTGAGGTACCCTGCTCCATACACACACACACACACACACATTTCCCTCTAGAATTATACCCCCACTATTACCATTTGCTTTGATATTCATAATGTAATTCTTTTTTTGTACCAGAACAAAATTAAGGAGCTGGAACTACTTTGCTCCCTGAAGGAGGTTCCCCTCGATTTCAGTGATCTCGAAAATGTTGTCCTTGCATTGAGGTAAGAAATGAAACATGATCCTAGCACTTGATTGGATGTCAAAGGTCAGTTTGCGCTGTAACGTCATGATTCGGTTCATACAGGGAGAAGTTCTTTCAGGAGGTAAACACCATGCACCTCAGAAGCAGCACATCACTGGCCAAAACGAAGGCGCTGGTGAAGAGTCTGATGAACCGCACTGAGCTGCTGCTCCATGTTACCATAGCGCCACATTGCAGGAGCCTAACCAACACACCTGCAGGAACACCAGGTCCAGGTACACATACTCATTATGTCACACACATGTCCATCAGATAGTGTATGTATGGTACAGTTATGTAATTCTCACAGGAGTTTGGCTTAAATTATATTTTGAAAATCAATATTTAATCACAGCCTTATACCTGAAAATCAATACTTCCATCTGTCAGTGTTTGTCAGTCAGTAAGCCCTGCATGATTGGTAGGTGTTTAAGTTGCACCAAGACATCAATCATGGTAGACAAAATGACAGCGCGATTATTCTTATCTATCTCCCCTGATTTTATAGCCTCTAAGTCAGTGTCAGACGCTAAGTCGGTGAACCCCATGGTGAAGCAGCCAGTCTTTCTACGCAGCATGTCTGCACCCTCTGACTTGGAGATGATTGCTAACCAGGACTTGGAGTTCACACATGCGCCCCAACGGTATATGTTTATGTTTCTTTGATAGAATTAAAATGTGAAAATAATTTATGTGAACCTGCATTGAATGTAACTTGTTTCCTTTAGGAGGCGACACCACCCTACTAGTCATCGCAGCAGCTCCTTTACCCTGCTGCAGTCTCTAGCCATCGAGGACAGTCGTGACAGACCCACATACAGTGTGCTGCTGGGACAGCTCTTCGCCTTCATAGGAACTACGCCTGATCAGGCTGTGAGTCTCTTACTCATCACTCACTCCTTCTTTTTTTTTTACTTGTTTGTTCCCAAAGCTGCATAAGAATCAGTAGGTGAATTCTGGTCTGACATTTTAAATCTTTTTCATCCGTTATTTCTGTAGGTGTCAAGCAGCAGTTTCCTGTCTGCCGCGCAGACGCGATGGAGACGTGGCAGCACGCGGAAACAGGCACTTGTTCACATGAGGGAGTTGCTCACTGCTGCTGTCAGAGTTGGAGGCGTAACCCACCTGGTGGGGCCTGTCACTATGGTGCTGCAAGGTGGCCCAAGGTAAAAAGGGAGCTATAACCGCCACTCTACACACACATAGGCAAAAAAATGATGGACATTTTATTCATGTCCTCAATAGTACACTTTTGCAATGTAGTTATAATATTACAACATTTTTGTATATGGCTGGTTCCTCTATAAATAAGTGTTTTTGTGCACTGTGTGCAGGATCGAGGAGCTGACCTGTGGTGGCATGGTGGAGCAGGTGCAGGAGGCCTTTGGAGAGACCATGACGTCTGTAGTGTCACTATGTGCTCGCTACCCCATTGCTTGTGCCAACAGTATTGGCTTGCTTTGCACAATCCCCTACACCAGGCAAGATCATTAATCTGTCATTACCTATATTTTGATATGTCTCTGGATTAGTTCACCCTATGGTTTCTTACCCTCACTTGATTTCCATGTTGACATAGGAGTGAGGAGCAGTGCCTGGTTCGGAGTGGTTTGGTCCAGCTCATGGACAGTCTGTGTAGTTTGAGTGGTCAGAGGGAATGCAGCTCAAACGAGAAGCAGACCAAAAAGCAGAAGGTGGCCACCATGGCTTGGGCTGCTTTCCAGGTGCTGGCTAACCGCTGCATCGAGTGGGAGAAGGTAGAAGGTAAGACATGCTTGTAAATCCTTAATACACAGATACATGGGTATTTACATTTTTTTTTTATTGATTCTCCCTCGTTTAAAAAATAAAATAAAAACAACAACACAAATGTTCCAAAAGAAATCGCAATCTAAATGAAAACTCAAAGCAATCTGATGCATCTGTTACCTCAATATACAAGAAAAGTATGTAGGTACAGTACGTGTATGTGGTAACATGTAGAAAGTGGTGTTAGCAAGGTTAAACCTAGCACTATTTTGGGCTTTCAGCACAAAACGCATAGAAAGAAATACATTATAAAATTATCCGTGTTCATTTAGCAAGGCAGCTATAAACCTCAAAATATCTGTCGTCCTGAAAATTGAATTTGTGTATTACGTACGTGCCTCGTTATTACTAATTTTTGTAACCAAGGTCAGATGGAATGAATGACCACTACAAAGTTAGTCGTATGTTGTAACGAAAGCTTAGTAAGCATATTTTTTCATTTTTTTTTTCAAAGGTGGGTCTACCGATGCAGTGCACTCTGGTTTGGCACGGCAGGTGTCCAGCCTGCTGACCAATCACTTGGCCCGAGCCACAGAGTGCTGCGGTAACCAGGCCGCTGGTAATGATGCCTTACAGGATGTGCTCAGTCTGCTCAATGACCTTTCCAGGTAACATTTTGGATAATTTATGTATGTGATGTCTGATGCGTCATGTATGTCCTGAGATGTATGTACATTATTTGAATTCATATTATGGTTGCTTTTTGTTGTATTCCAGGAGCCACATAGGGAAAGCCATCCTGAGCCAGCCAGCTTGTGTTTCTAAGCTCTTGTCTCTGCTGCTTGACCAGAGACCTTCTCCAAAGCTGGTACTTATCATCCTGCAGCTATGCCGAGCTGCCCTGCCTCTCATGAGTGTGGAGGACTGTGGGAACGTGGCCCTGCCTTCGTGGAGCTACTCTTTCAACACGCTGGATGCTGAGCAACAAGATGCCAGTGACCCTGCCTCGCGCATTGCTTCCTTGCTGCTAGCCAAGCTGGCAGACTATGTAGTACCAGGTTGGTCTTCTTTACCTAGGAATACTATTTTTACCTTTTTTACACAAATTGTTAATTTTTACACTATTCCCTCTTTAGGCTGCCAGACCCTGCTCTCCCCCAGCTCCTCTGAGCCGGACACTAGTCTGTCTCGCGCCAGTTCCAAAGGAGCCCTGAAGTCTGACGAGGTGGGGGAGGAGGGAGAGGCAGTTGATGGTAAGCTATCCATCTTCATCCACAAGAGAGAGGACCAGTCATCTCATGAGGTTCTACAACCACTTCTTAGGTATGTTTGCCCCTAATACCTTTTATTTGATTTCATATTAGCAAAATAGTTTCTGTGAGCTTTCTTTCCATCCATTCCAAAATGCAGCAGCTCAGAGGGTCGTCCCTTTCGACTTGGCACTGGAGCAAACATGGAAAAGGTGGTAAAGATGGACAGAGACATGACAAAGGTAAGACTTTTACTAAGAAACACCCAGCAATTAAAAGCATTACCAACAATATGAACAAGTGTGTAGCTTTATTCCAAGTGCTGTCCTTACCTACAATTCTGTAATCTATGTAGAGTGGCAACTGTGAAGTGATCACAGAAGAGGCAGCTGCTGCCCTGAGGAAGGCCAACAAGTGGGCCCAGTCAGGTCTGATAGTGAGCGTCGGTCCACCTATGGAGGCTCTGGTCCAGGAGGCTGCAGGAGGCATCACCACTGGAGATAAGAAGAAAACTGTTCAGACCGCTGTGTGTAGGGACAGGAATGCTGATCTGGCCAGGTATATGATTTATCATTCAAGTTGTGCATGTGTGTGGTTTCTTCTGGTCATATTTTCCGTGTGACACCATTTTTCCTTCTTCTAAATTTGCCCTGATCAGGTCGGACCCTGTGAGGCCATTCATCAGTGGCCATGTTGCCAACAGTATGGCTGCTGAGGTTATTGCTCTACTGCACAGCCTGCTAACCGCCCCCGAGTCCAACACCGCTCAGATCTGGACTAGCACAGCTGAAAAGGTAAAGGACTATTACGTGTTGTATCATGCTAATTCTCATTGATGGTAACTGAAACTTGTTGTCGACTGTTAAGAATAATCGACACAGATAATTCTATCTGCACTGACATGTATGTGATTCGGTTTCGATTAAACTTCATGCTTTTACTTTGGGGTTTGTTGTAGGTTCTCTCCCGAGCCCTGATGTTCATCCCTCAGCTGGGGAAGTATGCAGAGAGTATTCTGGAGAATGGGAGCAGCAGTGGCAGGAAACTGGCTAAGCTGCAGGCCATTGGCAGACAAGCTGTTGCTGCTCTTTGTGCCCTCGGGGGCTTCAAAGAAACTATTAAGATCGGCTCAGAGGTCCAGGTTAGTTAAACGAGACGATTCAATACAAATAATTCTACTTTTGTACCTTCTCCTGCTGTAATTCTTATCGCATCTCATCTGCAGGTGGTAGGTAAAGGAGTGCTTGGCAGTGTGGGCATAGTTATGTCCATAAATGAACAAGAGGGCATTGCAACGGTCAAGTTCCCTTCTTGCGAGTACAGGAGAGCTTGCCAAGCCTCAGACATCCTGACGGTACCCATATCACGCCTCTGCACACCCAGATCTGAGGTATCGATTCAGAATCAAACACAGTAATACATATTGCTTTTTAAAATAACAGGTTAAATCTAACTTTTGTCCCACTTTCACTTTCTTCCAATTCCCAACAGGCCCTCCCCCTCTATAAGCTCTCAATCACAGAAAAGGTGGTGCAGGCGGTGCAGTCCATGCTTCTGCCACAGGAGGGCAGTCTCTCCATTCACACTTCTCTACCAGCTACAGGAGATGGCTCCAGCCCGGTAATGGCTGCAGTACGCTTGCTGGCTGAAATCAGAACCAGGTTAGTATGTATATAGTGAATAAACAATTCCACTTCAGCTGTCTTTTGGCTCCTACAAGTTTTTTGTGTCGGGCGAAGATTTAGACAAATTTAAAATGTTGGCACCTGAAACCCATTCAAACTATGATTATATGATATAATAAACATTTTTTTAATGGCAGTTGACAACAAAACCATAGCCAAAAATCACCAGGTTCTTGTTGTTTTCCAGGGCATGTCTGGTGATGGCGCAGCTCCTGGAGGATAGCTCCTTCTGTGAGGAGTTCATCCAGCAGTGTCCTGCTGCGGTCGAGGTCCTGAACCTGGTGGCCCAGGAATGCAGCCCTGGTGAGCTTCCATGCTTGCATTTTGCATATCACTTAAGCAGCCAAAACCTTTTATCTGCAGTATAATATTTGTCTGACAAAGTTCTGAACTCTTGTGCAGGGGAGCGTCTCGGCATGGTCGAGGCTCAGTGTGAAAGAGTGAGAATGCTGTACCGGGACTGCGCTCGTCCTCCTCCTCCACCACTGCAGACAGACCGACGCCAGGTGGGAGTTACCATATTTAGATTTGGTTTTTATTACTATAACCAGTAACAAACACAAGAGCCTTAATGTGTAACCTACATGTATTCTGGATACAGCTGAATATTCACAATTATCATGGATGATGATGGAAAAGAAAGTAAGGTCAGAAAAATTGATAACAAAAATGTTCCTTCATCCGAGATCCTAGCCTCGATCTTAAAAAGTGTGGATGAAAAACGACTGAAGTCTGTTGAATACATGGTTCAATTTACTGAAAGCAATATAATTATAATATGACATTCATATATTGCTGTAGGCCTTGACTGAATCTTCAAAGGCATTTTGATAAATTAAATAGTCAGAATTGTCGGCCCCGCTTATCTCCGGATCTCTTTGATGTGCTTGTCTCTGCAGCCCAAGGAGATCACTTGGTGTCCTTCCAGAGTGTTTCCTCCTGTCCGTGCCTGCATGTTCTCATCCCGCCTGACCTCCGTCACCTTCTTGGCTGATCCGAGTGCTGGAGGAGGGCTGCCCAGAGGCACTTTCATCTATGCCACCTGTCCTGTACCAATTCAGGTGGGCACATGCATTATATTTGCCATTTTCATTTATTTTACGATGTATGAGTGAGAATAAATCAAGCACTGATACTGCAGCTACTAGTCTTCAACTTACCTTTCTTTGTCCCCGCAGGCCCCGTCCTTTTACTGGGAGATAGAAATTGTCTCCTATGGAGACTCTGAGGAGGACAGTGGCCCGATTGTGTCCTTTGGTTTTGCCACAGAGGCAGAGAAGAGAGATGGAGCGTGGACCAACCCTGTCGGCACATGTCTGTTCCATAAGTATGTTTGCCTGAATACTAACTCTGAGATCCTTTTCCCACTGCTCTGTCTCTGACTTGAGTGCTGACTGCTATCCTTCTCTTCGTTATGTTCCATCTCTGTGCGTCTGTCTCCTGTCTGTCTTCTGTCTGTCTGTCTGTCTGTCTGTCTGTCTGTCTGTGTGTGTCAGTAATGGTAGGGCAGTGCATTATAACGGCTCCAGTCTGCTGCAGTGGAAGAGTGTCAGGCTGGATGTGGCTCTACTTCCTGGTGAGACAAGAGACTAAATATATTTTTCTTTATATAGTCTGCTATCTCTTTCTTTTAATCTGTATATGTAGAAATCCATACAGCAATGAATGTTATGAATTTAAACTAACCTCATTAAAGCATTGTATTTGATCTGGCTGCTCTTTGGAAAAAAATCTATTTTGCAAGTGTATCTTGTTTCCTTAACTCAAGCTGTATTAAGTGTTTTAAAATATGTCATTACCTCCTAACATTGAGACATTGCAGAGAATGTGACCTTGTGTATGTATGAACACAGGCGATGTGGCTGGAATAGGCTGGGAGCGCTCCGAGGGGACTCCTCCCCCCCCTGGTCAGGCCCCTAAAGGCAGGGTCTACTTTACCTACTGTGGTCAGCGGCTCGGCCCCATCCTTGAGGATGTAGCTGGTGGAATGTGGCCCCTGGTACACATTCAAAAAAAGGTGTGTTTGTGTTAACTAAAGCAATCTTGAAATCTTTATAATTAAACTGTTGTTGGATATAATTTGGCTTATCATTGATATTTAATATGTATTAACTGTATCGGTTTCTTTACTGCTTTAGTGGTGCCTTTTTCCCTCAGGCTTGTAAAACATCTTCTATTATTCTTTCAATGGTTTTGTAGAACTCAAGGATCCGCGCCAACTTTGGATCCCGGCCGTTTGCATACGCAGAGGGCCAGGCGCACAGAAATGCAGCGGACTTGTGTGTAGACCTTGCAGAGGAAATAAGTGCAAATTTTGAAGCACTGCCTTTTGCTATGGCCTCGGACAGCGATAATGATGCAGGTGCAAGTGTTACCTCTGACTCTGGCTCCCATGGACCCCCTTGTCGGATTGCAGCTGTGGCTGTTGCTCAGCAACGTAGGTTCTTCACTTTTATTTCAGCCTTCTCATCATCAAAGTGCATGCTTTTTCCTTGACCTATTTGATTTAGCATAACTCTTCTCCACTTAAAAGCAGGGACTGCGCTACACTCATACCATTTGTGTATATCATGTTGTGTGTTTCCTTGCTGGTACAGAGTACAACAGCGACCTGTCGTGCCATTACAAAATTGAGCTGAGCTACGAGAACCTGGTGACCTCTGGACCTGACCCTCATCCTCCTCCTATCGCAGATGATGAGAGTGATGACGAGGATGATGATGATGTCCCGAGAGTGAGTCGGATCTCCACTTTTTTTCACCTTCAATGTTGACTTTCAAATGATTTTTAAGTTAACAGCCTTCATTGTTTATTGTGATTTGTGTTTGGCCCTAGGAGGACCACTATGCCTTGCTGGTAAAGGCCTGGGAGACCAAAGTGTTCCCTACCATCCGTAGGCGGTTCCGTAACGAGGCTGAGAGGAAATCTGGCTTGGATCAAATCAAAGGAGCTCTGCAGCTAGGTAATGAATGAAAACATATTAAAACATAACCTTAATGTCTAGTGTAACAAATGAATCATTTGATCAAGACCATGCATTAATTGGTCAATTGAGGTCAGTTACAGGTAGCCTAATTTAGAATACCAGGATGATGAACTATCATGAGACATTTTAATGTTCGAATCTTATAATGAATGCATCACATGAATCATTTAGCTAATGAACTCAAACTTCATAACCTATGACACAATGTCTCCATGGTTCAGAACATTGATAATATGTCAAAAATATAGAAGCCTGCTTTGTTATTCCCCCTTTTAACACATTGGAACAAGGTGAAGTAATTATAGTGCAGTTACATTTGACATAAGATTAATTGACAAAAGTTATTAACCTATTTAATGAGTTTTAAGCATTAGCTTGACGTCAAATTCTATTAAATGAAACATTGGCGAAGCCTCAAACCTCAAACAGGGACAACTTTAATGCCGTTTGTCTCTTTTGTATTTTTCTGGCAACAGGCATGGTTGACATTGCGAGACAGACGGTGGAGTTCCTGTATGAAGAGAATGGTGGCATTCCCCGGGACCTCTACCTTCCTACCATTGAGGATATCAAGGACGAAGCAAATAAGTTCACCATCGACAAAGTTCGCAAAGGTACCATTCACCTTCATCACTACACCTAAACACTTTCAGTTCAAATGAGTTTACTCCCAGGTGCATTGTAACTAAGCTTTTTAGTACAATTGTTATTTTTGCCAGATTGTGATGTGCACAACTCGGCAAATGATTTGACCTTTAATATATTTTGCTCACTGAACACAGGCTTGACTGTGGTCATCCGCTCTCCGGACAGCAACAACACCAACAGCACCACCGGAGGGACGGCCCTGCCCAAGTTTGCTATCCGGGGCATGTTGAAGACCTTTGGTCTGCATGGGGTGGTGCTCGATGTGGACTCTGTGAGTACAATACTTAAGGCTTCAGTGTTTCAAGCCATTATTGGAAATGTATCGATAATCTCTCACTGGTTTAATGAATACTAATATTTTATTAGATACATTGTTTCAAACATTAACAATAAACCAGTTTCGTTCCCTCAACTACTTCACCAGGCTGGTCTAATATTTGTAAAAATGTATACAAATAAATGTAAAAAAACCTGAAAAACAGCACCATCATACTCAGCTGCTGCTCATCACTGATTCCAGATTATCCGCCCCAGCGCCCATGCATTTCTTAATTAAGCATTATTTAAATGTCTGTCTTATAAACACATTACAGTTGTTGTGAATCATTCATATCCATCATCTGAGTGATATCCTTGATGTCATTTAACACAAGAAGACAATGTTACCAGGATGGTTTAAAAAAACAAAATGACTAATTAGACATTTCCTCTGGATCACACAGTGGAGAAAAATACTTCTTCCAAAGCAGCATTTTAATGTCAAGAGGCCAAATCTTAATTGCAAAAATATTGGTATTTTTCATATTTTGATAAACTAAAAAGAGCATTTTCAGTAAATTAATCGTATTTCATTCCATAAAAAGCACTTCACTGATATATTTGAACGTATTACACACCTTCCTTAAAGATACAGTATACATGTTCTGCAACTTAAAAACTTTTTTTTTTTTTATATTCTCATATTGCAACAGTTATTTCACAAATCTGTCATTCAGGGCCCATCTAGTTGTATACCGCACAGTGTTTCCCACAGATCTGAAATATACTTGGGGGGTGGTGGTAGCGGGAGGGGGGGTTGTGGTGACGTGCAACAACATTAACCTTATTGTTGGTCGCTTGTTAGCAGACCCTTCACGCGATGGCAGAGCGAACAGGTACAGGCAGGGCCCATAGTGATAGCCCTATAGTTTAAAGCTACTACCCACAAATAAACATATGGACATGGGTTACTATTTAAAGAAAATGGTAAATGTATTTAGGAACCTATCAATGTGGTTTTAAGTGGGGGTGGACCTCAAATTCTCTAAGGGGATCCGGGGGCATGCTCCCCCGGTAAGATTATTTTTTAAATGTTGGAGTTAAATGCATCAATCTGGTGCACTTTGAGGGGAAAATAAAGAGACTAGATCTATGGAAACACTTATATGGTTCATTTATAGTTGTAAGTGTGTCTGTGCTCCTGATTCAGCCTCTCCTGTCTCCCTCCTCTTCTACCTTCTCCTCTTCGAGGCAGCAGCAAAGACTAGTTTTAGCTCTCAACAAGTTTTAAAAGTGTATCTTAACTTTTTTCACCTAGTTAACTTTTTATTTTTTTATTCATGCATATTTTACTAATCACTACCCTCTCAAATGGAAATATGTGTTTACATAAATGGTGACCAAACTGTTTGAGACCCACTGAGAACTTAGACTAAGTTAACTATCTAGACACTCAAGAGTCCTTTACCTCACCTGAGCTGAGGTTATCCCGAGCTTGAATAACACACAGAGACCAATCAAGGGCTTTGATTTATGATCTGTATGGCAGTGGCCATGTCGGCAGACCACATCATGTAGACAGCCAGTCACCCTGTGTGAGGCAGGCCACTTAACAGGCCAGGCCATCGGGAAAAATCCCCCGGTTCTCCCGATGGCCAGTCCGGGACTGGGTACAGGAGGCGTAGAGCGAGGGATCATTTTCCACAAGTTAATCGATCGCAGATGGCGTCGTGGTCACGGACGAAAAAAAAAATCGAAATGGGTCGCGAAATATACTTGGGCGGCCGTTAATATACCTTGGCGGCCCGCCCAAGTATAGTCTATGTGTGGGAAACCCTGCCACATTTAAACATTTGTTTGGCTTGCCTGGTATCAACTATATCAATTGACCTTTTGCATAGCTTAGATCCAATTTCACAATGTCCTCCTGTGCTAGATTTGAGCAGGTCATAGAATGTTTGTCTTTTTTACTATCATCTTATCCAGGTGAATGAGCTGGTGCAGGTGGAGACGTACCTGCGCAGTGAGGGGGTGCTGGTGAGGTATTGGTACCCTATAGAGATGCTGGAGCGCCCGCCTGCTGGATCTAGACGGACTGCAGCTAATGGCTTAGTCTCATTGGACAGTAGCAACATTCAGATTCATAGGTAATGTTTAAACCTAATGAGCATGATTTAAATGAGTCCTGCACCAGTGCTGGAAATAAAATCTGTTTAACACTTTCCTGTAGGGAGCTGCTTCGCTGTGAGAGTGCGCTGGCTCGGTTGTACTGCCGTATGGCCTTGCTCAACATCTTTGCCCCCAAGAATCCCCACACCTTCACTCGTCTCTTCCACATCCCCGCCATCCGTGACATCACCTTAGAGCACCTACAGCTGCTGTCCAATCAGCTGCTGGCTCCCCCTCTCCCTGGTGAGTGAGATTAACCTTTCTCATTAAATCACAGGATATCTCAATGTGATGCTTCTGTGCTGAACGCTCTAATGTGCTCTATGTTCTTCCTGCAGATGGCACTATTAGTTCTAGTTCCATCCTACTGGCCCAGTCAATGCTCCACAACCTTCAGGGCCAAAGCTGCTCCCCCTCTGAACTTTTCTTCCAGGGCAATGCTCAGCCCATCCGAGAGTGGCTGACAGTGGCCATCACCCGTGCCTTGCATCAAGGAGAGGAGAGCCTGCTGGAGCTCACAAAGCAGATCTGCTGCTTCCTACAGGTCAGCTCATGCTTGATCTAATACAACTTGCCTTAGGTTAACTACCCAGTTTGTAAAATTGCTAATCTTCTTTTTATAATTATTTTCATTTCAACAGAATGCACCAGAGCAGTTTACATCTGAGGAGTTTCCTGTGACCGAGTCAAAGGTCAGCATGGATGTCAGCTTTCCAGGTGCGGCATTTGTGATTGTATCCTGCAAGGAGAGCCAGCTAGGATGTCGCAAAGAGTGAGTCCATCCAGAAGTATTCAACGTCTGTAGCCCTTATGAACTCAGATGTGTTACCATCCATTTCCTGCTACATGCCTAAAAAGTCTACTCTACCTTTTCCACTCCATTAGCTCCAGCCTTTACAAGGCCCCCTGGGCTCGAGTAATGGTGTACGGCCTGGGTCACAAAGTGCGCAGGAACGGCCAGCTCAATCTGATGGAGGCGGTGTGCTATCCACTGGATGCCTCACCCACCAACACAGGCCTTACTCCCCCTCCCACCACCAACCAATACCCCTCAGTCATCATACCGACTGATAAAGTGCACATCAAACTGGGTGAGTATCGAACTCGCAAAGGGAAATTGATCCAGCTGAAAATGAATAAGCTAATATGTTTAAACATCCCATTGTTTGGACTGTAGGAGTGTCGCCCCCACCTGGTGCTGTGTTGGTGTTGCACTCCTTGCCGCTGGAGTTTCCTCTGGCCATGGCATTTGCTGAGCAGCTGTTGACGTGGAAGCTGGGAGAGAGCAGTGAGCAGCGGTCAGAGGACGAGCTGGACACAGTGCCATCATCTGTGCTGCTGCAGGTGGTAGAGCTGCTGGGTAGGTTGACCTCCAGATAACACAACGCTCTAATGAGCCTCATTTATCAACCTGCTTGAAGTGGCTTCATACATGGAACCCTAGGATAATCGTTGACCTTCTTGGATTCTGTTCCTGATTGAGTCTTATGACCTTAGCACTATTTAACGCTTGGTTGGTGTATTATTTTATTAAAAAAATACAGAAGTAAAAACAAATAAACTCTCTTGATGTAAGATTTAAAGTCATGATTTTACAACACTGCACTACTCTGTAGCATTTTCCTTATCCTTCACTTCTAGCTCCATAAATGACAAAAGAACTTTGAAAGCATACCAAACATAATTACATGTTTCAACAACTTTTCTTTGTCGCCGTTCTTATTGTTTTAGGTGGTTTGCTTTGGACCACTGATCTGGCTCCCTCCATAAAGGAACTCATCTTTCACTTGTTGGCTGAGCTTCTGCGAAAGGTCCACCACCTGGAGCAGCGCAAGAGCCCCGCGGGTCTCTCCAGCTCCATCGCTCTGCTGCTCAACCCCTGCCTCGCAGTGCTGATGGCCCTGCAGTCAGAACTCCGAAAGCTCTACGACCGCGAGACTCAGGGATGGACTGCTGGAGGGACAGGGGGGTCTTCATCTGGAGGCGTAGCGTCGGCTCTGGGATCGGAGCAGAGCCGGTTCTCCACCTACTTCCACGCTCTGATGGAGGTGTGCCTGGCTGTAGCAGAGGTGACACTCCCTCTTATTGTTAGTGGCTCTTCAGTGGGAGCCCTGTCCTCCACCAGCGCCCCTAACCTCAGCGACTCCTCTTCGTCTTCATCCTCATCCCCAGGCCAGACGCCACAGAGCCCTAGTCTGCTCTCCAAACGCAAGAAGGTGAAGATGAAGCGCGAGAGGGCAGCGGCGGTGGCAGCAGCAGTCTCTGGGAAACGGAGAAGTGGAGGAGCACGGTTATCAGAGAGTGACAGCGCTCTGCTGAACATGGCGGGCAGTAAACCTGAGGACATGCTGTGGTTCCACCGCTGCCTCACACTCCTGATGATCCTTCGACACCTCGCCAATAAAGACCCGCAGGGCTTAAGTGTGACCAGCGATGCAGTGACAGACGCCTGCCAGGCCCTGGTGGGCCCCACCGCCCACAGTCGCCTGCTGGTGCTCTCAGGTATCCCCACGCACCTGGAGGAGGCCGTGGTCCGAAATGCTATCCGCAGGGCCTGCAACGCACACGGGGGGCTCTTCAAAGATGAAGTCTTCATCCCTCTGCAGGAAGAGGATCCTAAAAAGCCCAAAGCTGGGGTTACAACCCCTCAGGACGGTAAAGTTGGACCTGACCCTGAGCGCCCCTTCCCACACACCGGTGGCCCAGAGAGTCCTGACAGCTCGAGCAGCGTGACTCCAGCTATGAGCGTGAGCGCATCGGCTTCTACCAGCCAGACCTCCATCTGCAGCTCCTCTCAGGGAGTGTCCCGCACTGCCAGTGAACTTTCTGTCGATCAGGAGATGTTGGCTGTTCCATCCCTCAACCCCGCGGCTGCAGCTTCGGCCGTTACGTACCCCCAGCATGGCACCCAGGACCCCCACACTGTTTCTAGTCAGGAGAGTCTGGACACCTCCCTGTGCAGTACAGGAAGCCTGGGCAGTCTGGGCAGCTTGGGGGAGCCTCTGGACAGCGCAGAGACACCGTCGGTGTCAGATGGAGGCTCTATGAACACAGTCACCTCACTGGAGAGCAACGCAGTCATGGCCAGGCCCATCAAGGGCTATGCTGTCATTGAGGTGATTAACACCACCATGTTAGACCTAAGCTGTGTGATTATGCGTTATCAATACATTCATCTTTCTTTTCTTACTCATAGGTTCGTTCTCGGGCTAAAGTGGAAAAGATCAGAGCCAGTCTTTTCAACAGCAGTGACCTGATTGGCTTATCCAGTCTTGAGGGTGAAGAGGATCTCATGGAGTTGACCAATGAGGAGATCCTCACAGCCTCCAGTGTTAACCAAAGCCTGTTTGACACACAGGGAAGCTCCGCCCTTGAAGACTACTTCCTGGAGAAGTCAGTCAGAGGTTGGTGTTTGATTGTTTCTTTTCTGCTTGACATTAGTTTTGCCAGTCTCAAACTCTTAAATGATCTGTCCCTATATTTAAAGGTGACAAGCTGGTACCTGGAGCACGAGAAGTCCTCACAGATGTTTTTAAGAGCTGCACGCACTCAGAACAGATGCTCAGCCTCACACCCGCCAAGCCACTTAAAGTGTCTGATATTTATCTCAGCAAGGAGCAGATCAACGCTCAGACCCCTGGCAACCTACTGCATACTTTCTTTACCAACGTTAGGCCTCCAAAGAAAGTACTTGAGGACCAGCTCACTCAGGTAAATAACATATTGGCAGTGAAGTAATCATTTTTGAAACCTTGCATATGTTTCTATTAACATGTGTCAACATTATTTATTTGTATCAGATTCTTAGAAAGTATGGCACTCCCAAGCCCAATAAGAACAAATACAGCAAAGCAGGAAAAGAACAGCACCAAGGCAAGGTGGTGAGCACCAAGAGGCCGATCACCAAACCTCCCACCAAGGAGAAGTCTGTGCTAAACAGTGTCAGGTGAGTAATAGGTTTGTTTGACCTTATGTACATGCACAATACCCTTTGACTCTTTAATTGAATTTGATTTCCCTGATCTCTTGACTCTGCCAGGACTGCACTGAGTGAGAAGAAGACGGTCCTGAAGCCAAAATCTCCAGAGAAATCCAGACCTGATGAGAAAGATGTGGAAAAATCTCCTGCTAAAAAAGCTGAAGGTTGGTAGTGCTACACACTCTGACAACACAACATATTCAAAGTTACAGACAGTTGGGTTAATGAGATGTTTTCAAAAACGTAGGTTAAATCATTTGCATTTTTGCTTTATTATACCTTAATGTGCAGTTTGCTTTACTCCGCTCCTTTGCTTCAACTTTGTGGTTTTGTATACAACATCTCAATACACTTAGGTAAAGGTGAAGATGTATTGCTTTTGTCTGTGTTTTGTATGACTGGAAATTACATTAACACATTGGTCAGATAAAACTGACACATTTAAAATATACGTTTGCAGTCTGGTAACCTGGTCTTACTATGATGCATTCAATTCCTGTTCTTAAACCAAATACCACTTTGTCATCTTTAGCCCCAGAGGAGAAGTTCCTCACACTCGAAGGCTTCCACAAATTCGCTGTTGACCGGGCAAAGCAGGACATCCGCAGCGTCTGGAGGGCGATTCTGGCTTGTGGTTACGACCTCCACTTTGAAAGGTGAGACTGGGGGAACGTCTAACCCCAATAACCAGCACTCAGACTGCTGTAACTCAAACACCGTCACAATCATGTTGTTTGGTTTTGACATAATGGGATCCTTCAAAAAAATAGGGGTCACTTCTGATTCATCAAGTTTTACTAGCTCACAATTAAATCGATGCCTTTAGTTTCACACACATCAACTAAATGTAGTGCAACACGTCATGGTTATTTATTTATTCAAGATTAGAAATTAACCCACAAATCTATTTCTCATCTCAGGACTATTTATTCATCGATCCAACCTATTTCACTAACTATACTAGTACTTTTTGATTTCTTTTATTCTATAATGGCTTTTTCTTCTCCCAATCCAAACCTTTATTGACGAGTATGTGCTCACTCTGGATATAATTTGATATTTATGTATTTTCTATTTAAATTGAAGAGCAAGTCAAATTGTATCTTTAAAGAAATTGGACAAACATCCAAATGATACTGCTGTCAAGCCCCTTTCATGATATAGATGTTTTGGTCATATTTTCATAGAAAAGCGCCGACCTCAGAACATTGAATTACCTGTGTGTCTTTATTAAATATAAGTGACCTAACGTTGTGACCTAACGTTGTGGCTGTTCTCTGTACCAGGTGCACGTGTATAGACACTCGTCACGCCCAGAAGGCCTGCAGGAAATGGGGCTTGGAAATGGACGTGGCATTGGTCCAGTACATCAACAGGCTGTGCCGTCACCTGGCCATCACACCGGCCAGACTGCACCCCCATGAAGTGTACCTGGACCCTGGAGACACTGCGGATCCTCGTGTGGCCAGTCTGCTCAGTAAGTAAACCTCTTCATTGCTACTGTGTGTTCTGTAAACAGAAGGCCGAAACCCTTTTGTTGTTGCTTGAATCCAATGCACAAGTGTTACACACGGGACATACTCTGAGTCACACTTGCTCAGTTTCTTCTTCTTCTACTATAATAAAACATGTTGTCCTTCTCCGTAGTTTGGTCAATTAGAAGATAAAGTTAAAACCGAAGCATTTTTTCTACCCGTTACACAACTTACTAGTCACCCTCCCTCGAAGGTCCCGTTATACCATAGTCGCCCAAAGCTATCGGCCAGTGTCAACTTGTTATTGCGTGCCCACAATAACGACAAAAACGACTAATATAGCTCTCTTTTTACTCGCAGAACGTAAGGCATCAAGGCTCTAATATTGATACTGTCTTGACAGGAATTTTATAGAGTTTTTACTTAGCTCTCTACACTGTGAGACGCCGTGGACGCAAGGGCGAAAAGGGATGTTACAAAAAACGCGTGCGGAGTGATCGCATCCGTAAAGAGGACTCACGAATGGTCTTCCAACCAAAACGAAATCGTCCCCGTTGCGCGTAGTGTAGTCTGTACATCAAAGGAACTGTGACTTTTAGTGGTGGGATAGAGGTTGTGACGAACCTACCGCTTCAGACTAGCACCTTCCTTCTTGTTGCGAGTTATTGGTTGAACAAACAATCTATCTGTCTCCGTCTTCTACTCGCCTATAGTGAAGACCAGGGAATGTAAAAGTTGAAGAACTGCATTCAATAGTCCACTAGGTGGTAGCTCGAAGGACGTCCAGGACGGAGGTTCGCAGCTTCCCGAGCGGTGGTCTGGGAAGGTCTTCCTCGGGTCTTCCCAGCTCCGTTCACTTGTTAGTACGTGCCTACGCGTTACTGGTTCTCGACTGGTTTCTTCACGTTGTTGACGAGGAGGGACGGCATCGACTATCCGTCCGCGCAGCGTACATGAAGGGGACTCCTGTCTCTTGTTTCAATATTACTAAGGGTAAAGTAAAAAGACACTAATTGAAACAACACGGTCTATGACTAAGCGGTCTTTCGGGAGGCAGAACCCCTTATTCAGTGCTATAGTTTGAGTTGTTGTAAGCGCAGTATGCATTGCGGAAACATTTGTGTCACTGGGTTTGTTAAAACTAAGGTACGTCACACCTCCAGTTACGTCCTAGCCTGTAAGAAGGAGCAACTCTCAGCTTTTTCACACAGGTGTTCCAGAGGACTTTGCCACAGTCTGTCACTTGTGGGAATGGAACAATGCCAACCCGACGCGTGACCCCGTCCCCTCGTCTGTCTCTGTCTCGTCTTGACATTGAGGAATGTGTGGACGGTATCCTTCGACAGGACTTCCTCGGTGGACTCTCTTCGCTACATTAGTGTCAAAGCAGCAACTCCGATTGTTTTCTTAGAACTGTTCATTTTCTCACACCCGTCATCTCTTTGTGATTACAACTTCTCTTTAAAATGAACACTCGGTACTTGGAGGAGAGGTCACTTCGCCTACAACTTCCGCATCCAGCCCAGAGGAGGCGACCGGTCGGAAGTGTGTCTCGACTCTGCTGCCGTGCGTCCTCTCGACCGGCGCGACGAACCGTCTTTATGCACAAGAGCTACTAGACTGAGCAGTGACTTCCCTTTTTCTTCTGGCTGTCTACTCACGTTTCTGGGTCACGTTTTACCTTATTTTATCCTTGTGTTATTTGTACACTCACTTAGCTTATGGAAATAAGCAGGGTGTCTCCCCTGTAAACGTAAACAAGTCGTTCTTTTATGCGAATTAAATTGGTTCTTCGTATGTAATTTATAATTTGGCTATTTTTAAGTTTCTTTTTAATTGTTAAATGTTTTATTGTGTAGGACATTGTCAAGACTCTATACTTCGGTCGTATATAACGGTCAATAATTGCCGTATATATATAACGTGTATTAACCATAACGTGTGTCCCCACAATATACAATATACTTCCCCACAATATACAATATACTTACTTCCGTAAGTATGGAGGGTGTTAGAAGGTCTCCCAGGTCTCATGAGAGACCTCCGTGACCAGTCGACAGCGACGTGACACCGTAAGTCATGAGACAAAGTAATGTCACTGGAATCACAGCATCATCTAGTCTGGACATTGTCTGCTACTGTGCACAAATCGTTCCTTCCAAAAAAATTTTCCATTTTTTGTGACTACGGAAGTGTTGTTCAAACTGGCACATGGAAACCGAAGTGTATTCTCGCGACGTTACGACCAAGACTATCCCACTCACAAACAGAGTAGAGATGATGCCGTCCTCTTTTGAGAGGTCTCACAACAACTTCGCCTGACGCGTCTCGTTCGCGTCCGCCGTACGAGAGGTGACCGTGTANTGTGGGTACATTTGCCGCAGTAATCGGGTCACATGACCATGTGCTGGGGTGTTGACCATCACTGTTAGCCACATCATTATCTACCACGACCAGGCATTAGACCCCAGCACATGGTCATGTGACCCGATTACTGCGGCAAATGTACCCACACTGGTGGAGACTACTAGATAAAGCTTTATGACATGGTAGGGCACCGGAATATCAGGGATGTAACAATGTTAGCTCGAAGTTTCCATCAGCATCACTGTAAAGTTTCTGCTATGCAACAACATAGACCCATGCGTTCAGAGATGTTGCCTTCAAAATAAAAGCCTACAGTCTCGAATAATAAACATCTACTGCACTACATTTAACATTAACACTGGAATTAAACTACATTCTGCCAAGGCACACATCTTTAAGACTTGATACATTTCAGAAAATAACAAAAGTGGGAGAAAAAAATAATCAAGGCCACATAGAAAATAGTAGTGACTTTCTAGCGTCTAATCTGACATAACGTGGCTTATTTTTGTTTAGAGAACAAGAACATATTGCATCAGTCAGTAATCAAGTTATGGTCACTATAAAGTATGCCACGCTTGAGTAATCATAAAAGTTTGATCACCAGGATTGATATGTTAACCCATACACTTAAATGATTTAAGTTATCAGCTACATACACCTACATAACATGTTGTGACAGAAGAAAGTGGTCTGAACTCTCCCATTTGTTCAACCAAAGAGATGCTCACTGTCTGGTGCAATCTGAGAAGTTGCTTGCCTAAGTATACTGCTGCACTGGCACTACTAATAAAGTTTAAACTGTGCAACTGACACCAGAGCAAAAGCAGTTCATGCGGCAATGCATATGCAGTTATATGACAACAAAATGATATAGCAGATCAAATCAATATTAATAACTTGCATGTGACATTAGAAGAAACTACATGAATGTACAGCAGTAGTGTAAAGTAACAAAGTACATTCACTCGAGAAGTGTATTCAAGTAAAATGTTGAGGGACTTATACTTTAGTTGAGTACTTCAGTTATTTGCTACCTTGTACTTCTACCCCACTACAATTCAGAGGTAAAGCGTGTACTTTTATTCCACTACATTTATTTATTATCTTTAGTTACTTTGCAGAATTTGATTGATTGATATTGATGATGATGATGATGATGATGATGATGATGATGATGATGATGATGATGATGATGATGATGATGATAAGCAACACTGAAATAGGACTTTATGTATACCTGGAGTAAAATTCACAAGCTACCCTGCAGCATACAAAGTAAATACAATTAGCTGCACCTTTACCAGCTTTCATAACACTTAAATGCACCGGTAATTATAATCAAAACAAACTATTTATATTATTCTGATTGGGCCAATATGCATAACAGGTACTTTCAGTATATTCTGATGCTAGTACTTTTGTACTTTACTTGAGTAACATTTTGATTGCAGGACTTTTACTTGTAACAGAGTATTCCTACACTCTTACTTAAGTAAACGACTTACTGCACCTCTGATGTATAGTTTGTATCAACTACACATGTGGCTGCTTGTGTGATTAGGTTACAGGTCGGTGTGCAGTGCAGAGCTTCTATTTTGGAAGAGATGACAGGAAGTGATTTGACAACAGTCGCTTCCTTGACAGTGGGTCAATAACATGCAAGGCAGTAAACTTGCTAACGTTAGCTCTACCGTTTCCACCGAGGGTGTGTTGCAGCTGACAGTTAAAACACATTAATACAATTAAAAAAAGACACCATTATCATAGCTATGAGTGTGTGTTTCTATCTATATAAACATTTGAGTGAGTGAGTGTGTGTGTGTGTGAGAAGGCTTTAACCCACCTCTTGCTCGGTGTCCCCCTGTTCCGACACTCCAATTTCACTGGGCAGCTCGGCCAGATCTGTGACCCGAATGAGTCCGTCGTGGAGGAAAATGGTCTCCTCCTTCACCGAAAGCCACTGGGACGAGTCCACAGCCCCGGAGCCCATCGCTCTCTCCTCCGACAGTGATGCCAAAGGGGTCGAACATTAAAAATTCAGTGACAGAATGACAGAAAACGCCCTAGTTAGCCTGCTAGCGAGCTACAATAACATAACTGTCGCTACTGACGATGGTGTTTGATGGGGCAGAGCGTTACGGTTGGGCTAGGCTAACGGAGCTAAGCCGAGCAGAAACAGGCAGTTAGAAGACTCTCCTCTTCGCATAACACGGGTGGTCGTGTCGAGCTAACGGCAGCTAATAGCTGATGCTAACTTACCGTACGCTTTCGTTATAACGTTACCGAGCAGGGTGGGCGTGACACCAGTGCTAAATCCGTTATTGCGCCGCAACGTTAAAACGACAGTCTTTTAAAGGTGGTATACTGCATTTGTAGCAAGCTCTTTTTTTCACAAGTAAATGGTGAACGAAGTCAGCCCCGCTAGCGGCCCGGGCGCTGTGTCAGTGGCTGGAGAAGATAATGAGAGTCTCCCAGCTGTCAGTGCGACGCCATGTTTCCAAGGCCGACTAGCTGCTCCCAGCATGCACCGCGGGCCAAAATAAAAGCTGTCAAAAATTAATGAGTTAATGTTGGTGTCTAACATCACAACCTAAGACAGTAATAATTATACTACAGGGCAATTATCAATCAACCAAAGTTTATTTATATATCTCAGTTTCATACATTTTACATTTGTTCCAGGCGGCTTTATACAGAATGCAAATATGACACCCTCTGTCCTTAGACCATCACATTGTAAAAGGAAAAACCCCCAAAGAAACCCCACAGTTAATGGGGGGGGAAATTGAAGAAACCTTGGGGAGAGCAACAGAGGAGGGATCCCTCTCCCAGGACGGACAGAAGTGCAATAGGTGTAAATTATCAAGATAATACATTCACAACATAGGTAGTCCAAATGCTTAAAAAATGCATGTATTTGTGGATCTATGGATGTCAACTATCATCTGGGTGCCATCAAAGAAGTTCTAATCAGGCAAAGAAAATATATTAATGGAGTCTTATTTGACCTGTATTTCTTGCTGTACTGAACATAAGAGTCCAATATTAACCAGTCTTTCAATTAACTAGTGTGTATATCATTCTTAACATATAGCTGTGTGAGATGTAATGTAGCCTACTGTTTCTTCAATGTCAATAAACCACGTTTTTGGGTTGTCAGTGCTCTCAAAGGTTTAGAGGTCACCTAAGGTTAATGGTCACTGTGTCTAACCTACTTGGCTATTATCAAAATTAAACATTGTTCAATAAAAAGCAAAGCAAAATAGGTAAATAAAAAGACGTCTTAATTAAGAATATAAGATTATAAGATTTGTATAGAGCCCATGACAAAAATAAACACAAAATTGATAACCCTATATCCAAAAACCTTGTGACATTTTTGGGTACGATTGTATAGTAGCACAGGAATGGATCTTTGAATTCATTTGAAATAACAATAATTTCGGTTTCACATACCCAAAAAGTGAATACCTAAAAAACTGATGCAACACATTGTAAGAGCTGTAATTCATGAAATGGCAATAAATTGCACATTGAACAGTTGTAGCATTCACAACACATTTAGAGATCAGATAATGAAAGGTAGGTATAGATCACACTGCAATGTTTATTAACAATTAATCTCTGATGTAAAAAAAAAAAAATGTGTTGTTGGATTATTATTACTGACTGGTTGTTATGGAAAGCAGACTGGAGTAGATCTTGTTACTCTCCTTACTTAAACTGCAGTGCAGATAATAAGGTGCTACAATGTGACTTATTGTGAAATCCCTTTAAGTATGCTTTAATATCAATTACTAAATTCAAACACAGTAAAAAAATACATGATGTTATTACATTTTCAATATACAACCTGAAAGATTGCAAAAACTTTTTGTTACAGTGCTTTATAAATATATTACATTTAAATCAGTGGCATATTTACAAATATTTTACAAATATTACACTACACCATCAGAAAGAAACGCATGACATGTGTAGCTTACCAAATTCAATGTTGCTGCAAATATGCAATTAGTTTAAAGCCGTGTGAGCTGCACCATAACATCGGCTTCTCTTTGTAGCCTGAGGCATCGCTTATAGAGACGAACAGGAATCCCTCTTCTTCTGTCACTGCTTGAATTTTGCACCCCAGCCGTGTCTTTCTCCTCCATCATCTCAACTGCTTGAAGTAGGTCAGAGGCTTTACTGAAGCCTCCAGAACATCTAAAAAAGAAACATATGAAAACTTTCAGAACCAGACCCAACATGATAATCTCTTATAAAGGAAACCTAGTTTACACATTAAACAGGATACTTGCACTGCTGTTACCAAAGGTTGTCTAAGATTTGCATTAATAAGCTTATCTGAGCTTAAAACCTGTTTCTGCGGTGGCATTTTTTCTCCTTTGGCAGTTTAAAGCAGTATTGAGAGACGAAATCCATCAGTAGCGTGGGGAGAATACTGGGTTGCTCGAAGCTTTCAATCTGAACAGCCAAGCTGAAAATAGGACAAAGAAGAGGACATTTTACAACCTCACGTAGAGGAATAAAGTGGGCAAAAAGGCAGGAATAAAACACAAGAGTGTGATGTATGCAATATGCATTTGTGAGTCACTCAGAGGCAGAAACAGACAAAGAGAAAGAAAGCTGCCTGTGGGGGCAGGTGTTCCTCCTGCCTTTTAACAATGAGACATAACAGTCTTACAGTATATGCTGCTGTAACCTAAGTGTTAAAATCAGCAGTCGGGGTCCCTATACATAATTAAATATAAACATGACACAAAAACGTGCAACCTGCTATCATTAAAAAAAACACAAGGCTTTTACAACAGAAATGAAATATAAAATGAAAATCAAGGTAATGAATGACATCAATAGAGGATGAATTCTGTCTGAGGGTCCTTGATTGCGCCTTTTTCACCGCATATATTTTTAGATATCTGTTTAACTAAATACACAGGTGTAACTAATTATTTTAAAGATGGCTCTGTTCATTTACTGTAAGGGTTTCAGTAAAACGTTGATCTAGCATGCTAAATTAAAGGGCACTAAAACCAGCAGAACTAGATGGTATGCAGCTGTCTTTGTTATAATTAACTAATTACGCCTGTGCTTCTCCTGCTGTGACCTGTCGAAATAGCTGCTGTGAAAAAGGTTTTTAATGCATGCTGGTTCCCTGTCACACTGTTGTGGCCTACTGGGACACCTAATTGAACAAAGCCGAAATCTTATGCTCCTGTCTCCAGTCTCTTTCTTGAGATATCCAGAAATTATAAAATACACAACATAACACCTGTGTGTCTTTTACCACAAACATTTGAGCTATTACATAAACTTGGTCATGTTGTCATAGTTTTGACAAACACGCCTTGAGTTTATTATCAGACTATTCTCCCCCTATCATTGAATTGACTGTGGAAACTGCTGGAGACAGCTTTACTTTCAAGGGCGCCAACGATAAGAGCCTTAACAATTTTCTCTTGACAAAAAGAAGGAAAAAAAGGCCTTGTTCATCGTCTCACTGCAATCTGCAGGTCAAACCTTGAAGTAGTTTAGGAATGCCAAACACAGTCATAATGGATTATTGGGAAAATAGCTTTTGGGTTAGTTAGGTCCAAAAGCTGTGTACGCCTTTGTATTTCTTTGGCCTCTATGAACTGTGTTAAGCTGTTTCCAGGATTAAGAATATCATGCTGAAAATACATGAGAAAACACAAAGCAAGCCCCAAGATGCAAAGTTTGAAATGTAGTTAAATTACACCAATTGTTTTGTAGTAACCCATGCTTATATTTTTAATGATTGTGAATCACTCAAACATAAAGTTCAGAAATGCTGTTAAGTTACCGGCTGGTGCAATCACAGTGGTATGCAGTCTTTGATTCGTTGTTCTGCAGATCAAACTTCTTCTTCAAAGGACGGATTTTGTATTTACATTCATCAAGATATTTGAGGCTTTCACACAGGAGCTGATTGTCTGAAAGAGTGAAAAATAAACACTGGTTATTTCACATATGTCCGTAGCCTAGCCATAATTCTTTAGATAACTAACATACTAAATGTGCCTACTGATGTTGTCAATCTCTTTATTAAACTATTCTCTGGGATGAAAATTAGCATGCTGTCCCACCAGTAGGGGGCATTGGTAGCATGAAGCTCAAGCTTTTTGAGAGAATATTGCACTCAGCCACCTTACATACAATAATTCCACTGGGTTTGTTTTTCATTTTATCATCACCTTTTCATAGTGGCAAAATTGCTCACCTTTAACTAATAATAAATACATGTCTTTATAATTGTAATAGTGTCATGATATTGAAGTGAGGCCTCTGATACTACAAAAGTCCCAGCAGATGTCATGTGTTCAGCAGCTGCATACACTCACCTGTCGCATTATTTAATACAATATTTTGCTTCGGTCGTCTCTCTGCATGTGTGCTTTGGGCTCTGATACTACCCATAGGCTCCCCGCTTGTATTATTCTGTAATAAAGGGAAATCCTTCTGCTTTTTGGGCTTCTCATTCTTATTAACAGAGGCTGCTTTCTTCAGTTTTGTTGTGACTGGTCTTACAGAAGTAGCTATACTCCAGATTGTTTTCGTAGTGTCTCTTTTGGGTGTTTCTGTTTTCTTTTTTAGCCTCAGAGTCCTCGCTGTTGCCACTTTGATAGGTAATCCATATGTAGTTGTTGAGGTTGTAACAGTTGTGGTGTGAGATGTTGTATTTTGTTCAAGACAACTCTTACAATGAGGCTGAAAAGCGTCACCTCTCAGAGGTGTCCTGAATCCACAACAGTGACTTTGTTTTGTAACTTTTTTGCGACTTTTTATGTTTTTGGTCACTGCTGTGAATGCTGTTGGTAGGTATGGCTGAACTGCTGGTGTTGAAGTTGGGTTGATTTGTGTTGTAGATGTCACAGGTGGATTGGAGGTTGTGGCTACCTGTGTTGTAGCATGGCTCCTTTTTGTGGTGTAAGGTGACAGGCCTTTTCTGACGCTCTTCTTTTTTCCAACTCTTTTTTTATTAAGCATCAATGTGCTACTTTTAGAAGCATTCAAAAGACCCATTGTGATTGAAGGAGTAGTGGTGTGCACCCTTGAGATTGGGGTCATTTGAGGGGGTGCTGTTCTCAACAGCTTCATGCGTCTTTTACATCCTTTTCCCTTTTTCCTTCTGGGGAAGAAAGTGTCTCCTCCGGAGCTACATCGATGTTCACTTTTTGGTGTTTTTCTATGTGGGCTGATCACAAAGCTTTGCCCTTTGCTACCTGTTAAGACGTTGCTGTCAGTGTGGTCCCCTTTTTTGCTTGTAACCTCGGAGGCGTAAGGAAGGGGGCTTTCTAAGACAGCATACGGAGCACTTTGGGATACTTTGCACCTGCGGAGAGTAAACATGTTAAAACCAAGCCATAACAAAAACGTATACTGTATGCTGAATTTCCAACTTATATTATAACTACATTCCTTGCATTTCATTGAAGTAAGAAGAAGTTTCTTATGTATTGCTATTTGGGATAATTATGTATAATTTCATGGAAGATAATGACTCTAACAAAGTGGAAATTCGTAAATTATAGTTATTATAGTGCAGTTTGTCAATGAAATACCATTAATGCAAGGTTAACCATTAATCTTATCTTGTTTGTAAGACAATCTGTTAGTAACATCATAGATAGGTAGTGGAGACAGAATGGCACAGTGCCCTTTATAATTGTGTGAGGTTTGGAAGAGTGGCAGGCATGTTATTACAAGAAATCTGCTGCTCAATCTTCCCATATAACCACCTGCACTTTCTTTCCACTGAACAAATGTCTTGTTTATCTTGTTTAGCAATCATTTCAGTGTGTCTCTTACGTTCCCCACCAGTACAACTGAGTGCAATGCTTCTTCTGTTTCAGCTCAAAGCAGGGAACCTGCACGATGCTGAAGAAGCTGTATCCCACCATGCTGGAAATGCTATCATTCACACTAAGAAGGCACTGTCGAAACCTGGTGAGGGGAAAAAGTAACAAGCCCAGTTAAAGCAAAATATCAGTCAAAATAAACACACAGATGGTGGGTAAAAATCCTTGAACGCTGGCCATATTTTGTCTGCACCTTTACGGTAGACGACACAGTTTGAATCAATAGATAGCATTTGTGCTGGGGGGTGAAATCTATGTATGTGAGTGTCAGTTACTTACAAAATGACCCATGCACCTGTCAGCACCAGATGTAAAGTGAGAATAAAACAAATATGTCTGCAGGTTTAATAAAAGCAGGAAAAGTATGCCCAACCAACACTGTGGAGAGCAACTTGTTCACTCCTGACATTAAAAAATTATCCGGAGGGCTGATTGCGGCGGTATATTATTACTCCTGGATGAATGGTTATATCACAAAATCCCTTTACTTGGCATATTGATACATGTAAATTCAACTAGCATTCCAGAGAGGACCACACTTTCATTAGTTTAAAGTTTCAAACTGGAAGGCTTTTATTGTCATGTGTGCATATAGCTACAGTGTAGTTATGAACACACTTTAAACTTCCATATCTAATCAAGTTCAACTGTCGAGTCTTAACCTTGTTTGACAGATCATTAAGGGTACAGGACTGGTGGGGAAATGAGAATCCCTGGTTGCAAGAGTTTCCCTAAAGGCGGTAAATACCTTAAACCCAGCCCTGGGTGCACATTCTGAGGCTCACCTTTGGTCACAGTCACAGTCTGAGATGGTGTACAAGTTGCGGTTGAAGACCCCATAATTCATAGTGAAAGACGGGATGAAATGCAGGCAGTGGTCGTGCTCACGGCAGCATCTATCTGCACTCTCAAACATCCCTGCGCAGGAGAACAAGACTTGAATTCAACCATATCAGAGGGAACATTTCATAGAACTCCAGAAGCAATCATCTCTTTACTCATTTAAAATCAGAAAGCATCAAAGACTGTTAAAACATGTATGATATGCGGAAGGACATCTTGATTATGTGACTACAATAGTTTATAATCATTCTGTTCGTTACAATGCCATTCAATTTTTTATTTTGTGTTGTTTTATTAAACCTCAAATGTCAAATTATATGTTTAATATTCTATAAAGGAATTCAGTACGTTGCTTTACTGTATGATGAATGCAAAGGCAACTAATTTATAATAATTGTATTTACTGTGGAAGACATTTACACTAGGCCTACTATCTATGATGAAGTGAGTGGTGGTAATGATAGTGACAGCTGGAGAGAGGGGCCCCCTGAAATCCCCAAAGGTTTGTATTTAAAAAAAATTCAGAGGGCCCAAACTTCCTAAATACCATATGGAAGTGACATCGAGATGCTATTGGCCTACCCATTACTCATCGGATGTCTCATCTGACCAATCATGCCCTCCTGCCCTTTTGGGGAATTTCAAATGCAGAAAAAAGTGAACTCTCCTCACCTAACTGATCGTATCTAACTGCTTGGCTTCCAGTGCCGCACCACAGCGTCCCTGGGAAAATCCATGCGCGTTTCCTCCGAGTTTTTCCAACTTTCACATCTCTCCTTGTGCGTCTGGTAAACGTTTGTGCATTAGAAGAGGTCAGTGCGCAGGTAGTATCTGCAGCCAACAGCATGCTAATATTAAACTTCGGAGGGATTTCTCCATTCTCGGTGCCACTTCTGTTGCAAAGAGTGCGATATGTTTCTATGATGAAAGGATCGGCATTCACCTCGCATGATACCAGTCGTATATCCTCGGACCATAGGCTGAGGTACAAGACGCGCACACCGGCTGCGTCCTCTCGTAGAAACGTGATGCGCGTCTGTCTGTCATATGCAGTCCTCGATCTGAGACAGGAGTGACCTGATCCGGTCACACCTTGTGATTTTGATTGAATTAGTGATGATATAGCCAAAACAACCTGTAGTAGGCATATCCTTTGCATCTCACTGTAAAATGGGCGATAATCAATCCAGTAAGAATGGACGAAATCTTCCTCATGAATTGTAGGCTCAGTGTATTTCTGCAGCAGTCAGCTTCTGAATGTCTGTCTCTGATGGCATGTGTGCCTCTGGCATAAACGGTTTGGGTTGAGCGGTCTTCTTTTTATTGGTCTTCCTTTGTAGAGGCTCGGCAGGAACTTGACACGCCTCACTTTTGCAGAATGACATTGCTTTTGTGCATTTCCTCACCCTGTCACCTGAAAAAAAATGCTGTCCTTACTGTGATTTAATGAGACTTGTCTACACCCAGATTGAGGACAAAAGCTGTATAGCCTGTGGTTTCCAACTGAAAAAGGACATAATATGACGTATAGGGTGTGGCTAAATAAAATAGAAAGTCGATCAGGTTTGGTGGCTTTAAACTTAATTAAATGTTACAGACAATAAGATAATAACTCCTTAACTTTTATCAGGTTGCATCCTTAGCTTGAATCATATTACTTTTGTGAAGCTCATTTTAAATATAGGCTTTTGGATGGTCTTGATTGACTGAAATAAGTACTTACACATTCGAGGCTTGTCAGTTTTCATTAGATTTTATTGATCAGTGTAAACGCTCTGCAAAATCTTTACATGCAAAGTTATTTGCAAACATACATATTTTCCAGTGCATGCACTATCTATATACAAATATAGAGATAAAGCAAGAAACATTCCACTGAACTGGCATATTTAAGAAGAAGACAGCTATGGTTTTTATTTTTTGTGTTGATCATCATTTGATAAGTTAATGTTGCTGAAGTAGCACAACATAAGACAGTGTATGATGCTACTGGTGGGTAGGGTGCAGAGAAAAAGAGACTGAAGATATTTAAATGTGTATTTACAGAAAGTGTCATTCGAAGAATTAGATTAATCTCAATATCTGCTACTGATAGAGTTGGATCAAGTCTTTTCTGATGTGCTCAGTTGACAATCAGCCTATCCTGTGGATGCTATCAGACCAGTTTTTTCAGGTTACAATATAGTCACCATAGTCATGCAGAATATGGCCTCTTGTATAAAGTATTGACAGGAATGTTATGGGGACGAAGTGTAAACATTTATGGAATTACAATAGCATTAATTTTTTTTAAAGTATATATATCTTGAACCACAAGACATTTCATGCATAGGATTTTTTGTTTTTGTCTTTACTTTGACATTGGAATAACTTGCAAACAGCTGTATAAATTGAGGTCATTCAACTTTGTAAGGTGTGCTTTCCTTGGTTTGCTGTGATTAGTGAACAAACACTAAAGCCGTTATGAAAGGGGTTTGGCAGAGAGGAAAGGGGTTCTGCTTTGTGCGGTGGGGTGAGAGCGGACTGCCTCAGGCACGTCCGAGTGACGAGCACAGTGCATGCAGGTAAAGCTGCACATACTTATGACATAGCCTATTTCACCAATCTTGTTAGGGAGACCCGACCGTGTGCATTCAGTGGAAAGAATACAGTAGAAAACCTCTGACGTGTCAGAGCAAACCATGAGCTTCAGAAGAGTAGAGGTAGCAGGAGGAAAATCCATCGTCCTGCTAATTCTCAATAAGCAAAAAAAAAAGTTTTCTTATCACAGTTAAAGCTTTCCACAAATCTTAATGCACAGCTTGAATAACCATACTCCTAATGTTTAACTGTTTAAGTCACAAATTAACAGCAACTGATGAAAGATTCATCTAGCTCATCGTTCACTGACTTATGAATCATCTGTGTATCAGAGATCTATTCTAACCTGAGCAATGTATCGGTACTGTATGTAAACATTTTCTTCATGGAAATATACATATGTTCAGGACAGTGGGCACAGTGTAAATATTTGAAGGTGCAGCTGCATGTTTTCTTGTGTCTGTGGCTTGGCATGCTTATACAGTTCAAAGTGTTGCACTACAGCATGATGTCATTACACGATAAATCATAGAAATTATACCCTGACAATTGAATGATTTTATGAGCTCAATCAAGTCTTTCAACGATGGTCTTTGACCTCAGATGCCGTAACATATTGCTTTTCCATTTCTGCGCTAGTGCAATTCCTTTTTTCTTATCTATGTCTTATCAAGTTCAACGCACTATACAACATCAATGTTAGGAATGGTAGTCCTTGTCTAGTTGTTCATTGACACATGTCTTATTGAAATATCTAATCAAATTAAGCCATTATTTGTCCCAGATGCAGATTAAGTATCAGCAGAGGCAAATTGTTTATAAGAAGAGGACAGGAAAGAAAAGTATACTACATAGGGAAGGGAGGTGAGTAAGCCTGTGTTGTTGATGGACAGGTAGTGAGAGAATAGATAACACAATCAAATAGGTGGAAAGTGCATTAGGAAATGAATGCAAACAAACTAGAGAGGTTTAGCTCATGCTGTATGTTTTAGGGGCAAGTAGTTAATCACTAGTGACGTGATTCCCGTTATACAAGGTGTGCCAGCGCTCAATCCTCTTGTCCTTGTTCTTCAGACACTCATACCAGTGCTTGAGCCGCTCTCCTTTGGCAGTGATGCCAAGCTGACACCCACCTGTCAGGAAGGAAGGGAGGCGTGAAAAGCCAGGTGGTGCTGAGCAGGTGAGAAATCTGCATTCATTTCAACAAAGCAATCACACATCTCAAATATTTACCAATGTAGTCGTTGGACTTCCCGATGTCATAATCCCACACAGAGATATCTAAACTCTTCTTGGCCAGTTCACTGTGTTTGATTTCATAGCCGAATTCCTGACATTTGAGACATTAATTGACCATTTTTAAAGCCGACTACAAACACAAGTCATCCTCAAGCTGCAAACACAATGATTTGATAATAATTTGAGGCTATGCACATTTTTGTAAATTGCAGCCCTTCACCTTGAACTCTCTTACAAACCTCATTAAACTCTGGGTTGAGAGTCCTCTTCTTGATTTGTGTTTTGCACTTGGCCTTCTTCCCCATGTCAGGTTTCAGACATCTGTCAAATAAATAACATTTCATTTAAACCATTTCCAGAGTCCCCCCAATTGTAATCCAAATGTCAGCTCATCCTGCTCTACCTACATTTTGACATAAGGGTCAGAGTAGCCATTAGCATCCATGGCGGCCAGGTGAACGCAGCGCACAACGCCCACGAGGAGACGGCCCTGCTGTGTGCTGTACATGAGGGAGATCAGGACCCTGCCACGCTCCTCCATCTCCCCCCCCTCTTTCCCTGGCTGTGAGCAGAGGGGAGAGAAAGTTTATTATGATATATGATCATATTTGCAAGAGCCTCTAAAGGAATCTGCCATGTTCAGACATGCATGCAAATCAAAAATGCATTGCCTCATCTTCGTATAGAGCGATGCCTCTGGCTCCCCCGGCTGTTGCAGTTCTCTTTGTCTTTGAGGAGGGGGTGAGATTACAGCAGGTCAACAAGAGTTTCAGACGTGGAGAACAAAGTGTTGTTTGAATGCAATTGAGTTTCACTCACAGGGACAACTCTCTCGAGGCACACGTTGAAGTTTTTCTTCTGGTTCAACTTCAGCTTCTTCAGCGCCACTCGGGTTTCCCCAATAAACTCATTATGCCCAAACTTGTCTTCATCACAGACTGACAGCCTGTGGAAATCAAGAGAGTGTCTTAAATGATAGACCTCTGACAGCTTGAAAAATAGTCATCTGAGGGCACAGTAAGTTTGAAACATAAAAAGGATGATTTAAGTTTGACCGTCTGAGGAGTGGTATCCACCTGAGGGTCTTGCGCTGCATGTCGTCATCAGTCAGGCCGTGGTAGGTGAGCGTCTCATTCCATGCAGGGTTGCGGGTGTTTCTCAAGGTCTTTGTACGCAGCTTGTTAGACTGTTAGATAAAGGTTAGATAAGGACAGGAAATGGAAATATTTCTTGGCATGCTGCTGGGCAAAAGCCTCAGCACATCTGTGGTGTGAACTGTTTTATCAGTGGAAGAATCTACACGGTGCTGCTTCCCGTCAACATCTGTTTTTGCTAATCTTCCTCATTCTCCACCACAGTACAGTTTTATTGCACAATGCTGCCAATGTACTTCCACTACTACTTTGACTTGACTTGCAATGCCTCAATACGCATTTATTTTTTATCATCTTGTGTTTTTTTAGACCACAAGGTGTCAGGCTTGAGCTAGCAAAAAGGCCCCTAATCAAACCACTGGGGTCTGAAATCACCACCCACCCTCCTTTTTCTGCTTAGCAGGATATTTTTCTTCTTTTAAAAAGGAAGTCAAATGTAGGAAAGATGTGTCTTTTACCTTACTAGCCCCAGGCAGCAGGTGTAGTTTCACATAAGGATCAGCGAGTCCATTTGAGTCCATGGGCTTCAGTCCCTAAGGAGAAATAGAGCACCATGTTCATCACATCATAGAGAACAGCAGAGAGCAATTAAGGTAAAGTGCCATTCAGGAGCCTCTTGATTGTAATTGTCTCTTTGTGCGAGACAATCAGAAGCGTGGTGGTACCTTTGCTTTGAGGATGCTACAGTGGAGGCTGTTGCTTTCCTGTTCATAGTGCAGGCTGAACTCTAGAGAGCCCAAGGTGGCTGAAAAAGACACAAAACAGTCATTACATTAGACTAAGAGTACAAATACAGGGACACAAATCCTTTAGAAATCAAACCACTTTAACTTGAAAATAGAAATGAGAACAAGTAAAAGCCCAGAATGGACAGAAAGGATGGACAATAACTCTAGAGCCTTGCTCATGAAACATTCACAGCTAGTCTAGAATAGCCCTCAGTAAAATCTAATTAGAAAGCAGGGCACATAATATAAAAATAAATTAAGTATACAAGCATTCAATTCTCAAGACATCCAGAAAATTAGGTTCAGGAAAAAGAGACTAATAAGCTGCCCACACAGATTTTCTTTGGAGGAGTTTCATCTCGTTTGGGGACAAAATGATCAAAAGTCATTTGGTAATTTTTCCTATACAACTTAACTTTTCTGGGCTGAGATTCACCAACAACTTGATGCTCAAAGGAAACAAAGATACAAAATGAAGCACTATATCTTCCATCTTTATCTAATGATCGGTAGTACTGATTGATTGGATTGACTTTACATCAAAACAAAAACTTGTAGACATCCAATCTCATATGATTATCAAACTGTTTTATTAATAT